AAACAATAACCTTTTAAAGTATTTGATAAATAAATAAATAATTACATAAATTTTATTATAAATTAATATTAACGATTTTTCGCTGCTTAACCTCTCCTAAATTTGACAATGTTTGACATATAACCTCCATTACTAACATAACCTACATTTAAATGTATGTGGTGAAATAATCTAAGTCGTACGTCCATATCTTGATTCATACCATTTTTAAGCGATCTGTCACTGCCAGCTCTCGTGGTTTCTACTATACCAACATGTCTAAAAAGAAAAGTGTTCGATTAGTGCGACCTATGGGCCAGAAACACTGACTTTGACCATAACATCTACCAACGGGCTTAGAACAACACAGCGTAAAATGGAAAGATCAATGGTGGGAGTATCACGTTAGAAATGAGGACTTGCGCCGAAGAGCAGACGTTATTTCTCGCATCGCCATATTCAAATGGAAATGAGGACGAAAAAGCTGTTGGAATGGACGGATAACATTAAGAAATTTGCTAATAATATCCAAGGACAGGAAGAAATGACTGGAAATAGGGGAATCCTATGTCCAGCAGTAGACACTGAGGGCAGAGTGATGATGATGTTATAAATCTGGACGATGACCACCAAAAAAGCTTGAAAACCAGTCTTATTTTATCTCTGATTGTTAAGAATCCGGGAGATAACCGGGATTCCCCTAAATGTATATTTTTACAACCCCGGGCATCCCCTGTGTTCTTTTCATCGGTGTACCAAAGGCAAAAAATGCTATCAAATTTTTGTGTAGGCGTATATAGAGTGGAATATAGTGCAAAACAAGTTCCGTGTAAATGGGGGGATAGTTGTAGTTAGATTAAAGTCCTTATATAAGTTATAATTTTATGATTTTAGGTCAAGAACGATTTCAAATAGTTGAATTTGAAACTGTGGTGTAGAAAATGCAATAAAAGAAATCTTTTAACTTTTAAAAACAACTCGAAAATATTAAAATAAAAAAAAAATATATAGAAAAGAAAAAACTATAAAGTCTTAAATGCCTTATAAATAACTCTTAAGTAGAGATTTTAATTAAATTAAAGAAAAAAAAACTTCTAAGAAGGACCCACTATTGTGATATTAAATGGCTCGAGTTGTATTTAACCTAAAAAAAGTAAGATTGAGGTGTTTTTAGATCACATGCAATAAAAGAAGAAGATAAAAAAGCTTTGATTTCTTTCCGTGGTAGTTTTAATCGACCACTTTTTAACATATCATTCAACATTCCTTTTTAAACGACTAAAAGTTGTAAATAATCGATTCTTATGAAAAGTATAATTAATTTCGACCTCAACTTCTTGAATTTTATGTAAAAGAAATCTGCAACGAATTCCATTTATATATTAAAAGAAAATTTAAAAATAATTCCTCAAAAAGACAATCCTTAATACCGTACTCGTAGTATTAATTAAAATTAATAATCACTTTAATAACAAATGTATTTCACTGCATTAAGCAAATAGGATTTGAAAAAAAACATTAATTAACCTAAAAAATTTAAAAAAAAATGTGTACAGTCTTAAATATGTAAATATTAATTTATTTTTTAATCATTAAGTATTTTTAAAAGAAAATTTAGGGTGATGTGAGGGAAACAATTAAAAACTTGTAAGTTGCATTGAATGATCTCAAAATCTTAATCGCACCGGAAGTGTTAAGCACATCGCTTCCTGTGCGAATTTTTTGAGCCCCAAAATGAATCGATTTCGCGATCATTCAATTTGTATTGGATTAATTAGTGATTGTTGATAAATAAGAACACCAAATACGTTTTATTAATCTCGTTAAAAAGAAATAATTCCGGCTCACGTTCGATTCGTCTTTAAATTTTTAATACTAATAACGTAGAGTTTCGATTAAAAAAGAACTAATGGGTCCAACTGTGTCTGTAGAAATAATTAAAAGTCGTATATTTAAATCAAAAATTAAGATAAAAAAGAATTAAACCCGAATTTTCAATCAATTATTGCCCAATTTTTCTAGAAACGATCTAGGAAAGCGTTTTATTCAGGGATAATGAAGATTAAAGAGAATAAAAAGGGCTTTTTCTGCATGTTTTTTCTTCTCGGAGTAAATGCACCTTAAGTACAGTTGCACGATGTTCAAGAACTCTCTCAATATTTTTACATCATAAAAGTAATTAACAAAAAAAAACGATTTTAAAATTTAAAAAAGGTTATTCATGTAATTATTATAATTAAACGGTAAAATTATGAATTTTATTGACTGTTTCGAATTTTCTAAGCCTAAAAATGTATAAAATTATTAAAATTACGAATAAATATTTTAATTCTCTTTTCTTCTTATTAATTTAATACCAATCCTCACATCTATTAGATAATAAACAAATCTCATTTGTTCATATTATGCTTAATTCGGAGGAGTAAAATGAAAAGCCACGTTTACACAGTGTAATTTTTCAAATGACTCAGGTAAGCGTGAGACTTTATTTGTGGGTTCAACGCTTGTGTAAACAAGTACAAAATAAATAAGTAAATTTTAACAAAACTCTCAGTGAAATAATTAATATTATTTTTTAACTTGTAGTTATACGAAGTAAAATTAATTAACCAGTTTTAATAATTGAATTATACGTAAAGAAATTGTAATAACATAACCAAACAAAATAATACCTCAAATTAATCGTATTTTAGGTAAGTGAAATTTGAAATGAAAATTAAAATAAAAACAACGAATAATAAAGAAATTGGAAATTATAACTTAGCTTTATCTTGTAGATTAATGAAGTTCTCGGATAAGGTATCTTGGACTCTTCAAAAAGGATCGGTAACAAAGATTGGATTGGAATAATTCTTCGGAATGGTATACTGGATTAATTGGATCAGGAACCACTTAATTTTCTTGTTTATTATTAAAGGTGATTAATTTTAATTAAAATAATCTTCTTAATTAACTTATTAAATAAGTTTACTATTTTTGAGGTTATGTCAATGGTGATTGACAGGTAACCTAACTTTTGTTTTGGTTTTTTTTAAATGATCGCGGACAAAATTAGCGTGCACTCATCATCACATTCGAAATCACACTAAAATCTAACAGTTTCGTTTGTTTAATGCTACAACGTTTTAAATAACGTCTTCTGATTGGTTAAATTCTTCAACTTGAAATTCGTAATTTAAATTTCTCCGGTATAGCCAACTTTGAAATGTCAAATGTCCCTAATTACATTTTATCAAAAATTATTTAAATTTCTATTTTAACAATATTTATGTATGAAATTTTGTAGTTTTGTTGCTTTAACTTTGTTTGTGCTGATTTCGGAACATTTTCTTTTAGATTTCAACGTCCAGCTTCAAAAATACATTCAAAAATTTAATCTACGGATTTGCGTCCAATTCTTCATCAAAACTCCCATATGATTGATGGTTTTCGTTCTTGACATGCTAAGATTATCGTTTTCAATCGTTTCAACCGGACAAATATTAATTACAATAAGAAATTAATGAAAAATGAAATTTGAGGTTATGTTACTGTCAAAATTCTACAAAATTACTTCGTATTGACTTTACGTGGGTTAAATACAATAATAAACGTAAACGATCAACAATACATAACATATTTACAACATTTTATTAGTACAAAAACAAATTTCTATAATTATCATTGGTAACCTCACCTACGATCAATACGATTATGCAAAATTTAAAAAAATAATAATGTATGACATGGTTTGGTTATATTACTATAATATAGATTCTTTTTTACTTGATGTGTATGACCTTCCCTTGTATTTTATTTTTCGTATGCCTCACATTGATGATAAAGTTTCTTTCTTTACACATTCCATTTTAAACTTTCTAAATGTACAAGCTCTTTTAATTATCAGATAATTTACCAAACCTGTTGATGAGACTTCGTGATAATGGAAAAACCAAATTTATCCTTTATTAACGTGATATAGATTGGCAAAATTACAAACGACTAAGAAATTTACCTACTTACTACTTTAACTACTACTACTATACGACAAAGCCCAAAAAAAAGGTTAATTTAGTAATTTGTTGGTTGATACTGGTGATAATAGCTCAAGGCAGTTGTGGAATGATCTTTTTAGGCCTGATAGAAGCGATATCGAAGTGAGGTTATGTTTACATTCAATTTTCATGGTAAATTAAATAATTAAAAACATTTAAAGATAAATTAATAAATGGAATTATACAAAAATATTTGCGTTTTAATTCTTATTATTTTTATAATGTCTAAAAAGCAAATAATAATTAAAAAAGATAATTAAAGAAATCTACTTTGTCAATATATTTAATTTGAGTAACGTCACGAGATGGCGCTTTAAAAAAATTTTAAAAATTAATTGTATGACATACTTTCAAAACCTTATTCTAAACAACTTTGTTGATGAAACTAATAAATAGGTTATAAAAAATAATAATCTTACAAATTATTACAAAAACGCCTCTTTCACTTGATTTTTGAAAGAGAAATTATGGTGATTATCGGTGCGGAAAAACAGTTTTTATTTTTTTTTCTTGTTTATTTTTTAATGTTTGTAATTTATTTCCACTAAAACGAGCTTTCTCCAATTCATCGTTGATCGTACAAGTTTTAATGCGACAGGTAATGCTACCTGTTTACTAAAACGCGTTTGTATTGAGTTTAAACGATGTCTGTGTGAACGTGTGTGTGTACGTGTAATTTTTGCGTTTAAAGTAGAAATGTGAAGGTCGATTATTAGAGACTTACTATGCTATGTAAGTGGTCGCGGTGACATCAGGTTAAAATCAACTTTATTTTTTTTTAATCATTTTTATTTATACTTTCTTCATATCTTATCAGGTGCGTTTATCGGATTGATAATGTGATATTTTTTGCGAAACACAATACAAATGTTTAAGAGAACTCTCTTGAGAGGGCAAAGAGTACTCGATGAGGTTGGAATGTTTTAGTTATTGTGATTAATCTATTAAAAAGAATTTATCGAGGATCGTTGTTGTAATCGAAGTGAAAGTGTTTGAATCGCAGAAAAATTAAAAATAAATCAAGAAAATGTCGGTGAGTATCTTAGAATGTTAAAAGAATTGTTTTGATGATTTTAATTCAAGTTTTAAACAAAATAAAAAATGTTAAATAACAAATTCCTTTCTGAAATTCCTCGAAGCGCTTTTTATTTATAATAAATATATTACGTCAGTGATTATAAAGGATTAAATATCCAATTTATCACGTTCAATTGGAGAGGGATTCCGAAAATTTACTATCTTGTAATTTCATTTATCAATAAAATGTGTGAATCAATCACGCACGAATTTTGTGTTAATCAGATTAATTAAAAGGTATTGATATTAATCAAGGTTTTAATAAACTAATTTAAATAAGTAAAATTATTCAATTTCATAAATTATTTGGAGGTTATGTTATAATTAAGTTATTTATAAAGGTACCAACAGATGGCACTAAATGTGTCAAAACCTTTAAACTTATAAATTTTTGCATAAAAAATTTATTTCTACGTACCTTTGTTCGTGGAAATAGATTCAAAACAATGCATTCTTCAAAATAAATTAATCCCAAACAAGATCGATTTCTCCAAAAAGTTGTTGATAAAAATAACCTAAAAAAAAGTTTATTTGAATATGTTTTAAGTTAATTATACGTTTTAATTATATACTTTAAAGCTACACATCTTAAACAAACACGTTTTCTTATAATTTGCGATATCACACGTTAAAAAAAAATGTTAAAAATAAATCATAAGTTTTGACAAATCAAAACTGTCAAATTATATATAACGGAAGTTAGCTCAAATTGTTTTTAATTATTATTATTTAATTAAACCAAAACTAGAACTAACACATTCACTAGAACTAGTTAACTTAGTAAAATATGAGTTATCATATAATAGAAATAAAACTTCAATTATATGATAACTAACTTCAGGTTTAAAATGTCAACCTCAATTTTGACATATTTGTAATCTTCATTAAAAATCCTTTAAAATGAGTACAAACACGTCATATTTATCTCCAATATTAATGAAGTTATGGTCAACTTCCGGTTAAGAATGTCAACGTCAATTTTGACATATTTGTAATCGTCGTGAAAAATCCTTTAAAATGAGTCCAAACATGATACGTTTAATTCCAATATTACTTGAGATATAAGCAACTTCCGGTTTGAAATGTCAATGTCATTTTGACATATTCTTAATTTTTATAAAATATCTTAATATTTGTCACAAAAACAAAAATATAATAAAAAAAAAATTAAAAATTAAGGTTGGTATTAATATTTAAAACTAAAGTTACTACAATAAAAGTTGCTAACTTCCGGTTTAATATCTTTTATTCTAACTTTTTTGAGATAAGTGCGTCATGTTTGGACTTATTTTAAAGGTTGAAGATGATAAATATGTCAAAATTGACGTTGACGTTTCAAACCGGAAGTAGTTCTATTTCCATTAGTATTAAAGTTAAATATGTCGAGTTTGGACTCATTTTAAAAGATTTTTTATTAAGTTGACAAATATGTCAAAATTGACGTTGACGTTTCAAAACCATGAAACCCGAAACCATGAAATTTTCTAGCTCTAGGTCTATATATTTTATGCTAACTAGCGCATTTTGGATTTAAAATTAAGCGGGAAATTTGAAATAATTTAATTAGAATTTTCTTTTATAGAGGTACCAACAGATGGCACTAAGTGTGTCAAAATTTTTAAATTTATATAAATATTTTAATTAAAAAATTAATTTGACGTACCTTTGTTTGTGGAAATCAAAGTAGTTAGATTCAAAACGATGCATTCTTCAAAATAAATTAATTCCAAACAAGACGTCACATCCATAACCTAAAAAAAAATTTTATTTGAATATTTTTTAAGTCAATTATACGTTTTAATTATATACCTTAAAGCTACACATTTTAAACAAAAACGTCTTCTTTTAATTTGCGATATCACACATTAAAAAAATTGTTAAAAATAAGCCGTAAACCTTGACAAATCAAAACTGTCAAATTGTACCTATACAACTGAAGTTACCTCAAATTGTTTTCAAGTCAATTAAAAACTTTTTTAATTTAATTAATTATTAAATAATCTTTTAATTAAATGAATTATTATTATTTATTTAATCAATTAATTATAATTGTAATTTGCGTTATGTTATTATTTGAATCGTTCCTCAAACTGTTAAAAAAAATTAAGCGGGAAATTTGAAATAATTTGATTAAAATTTTCTTTTTTTTCAGCAACAAGTGAAAGTGAAAATAAATACGATGGATCGCGAATTAGAATTTGTGACTTCATTAAAAACAACCGGAAAAAGTCTTTTTGAAATGGTCAGCCGAAATTTGGGGGTCCACGAAATATGGTTTTTTGGTATTTGTTATGTCGATGCGTCAGGCGAAGAAATTTGGATCGATAATTCCAAAAAAGTAATAACTTATTATTTATTTAAAATAATTATTAATCCAACTAATCTTTAAGTTGGTATTACTTATAAACTAGTTTTGAGATTTGACAATGACAGATAAATTAACCTCAAACTCAAAGTTTTTTAATTAATATACTTTTTTTGATTGTAGACTTTAAAAGATTATCGCCAATACGTTCAAAAGTTAAATTATCGCGTTAAATATTACCCAGAAGACATCGAAGAAGAATTAATCGAAGATAATACGATTAAATACTTTTTTTATCAGGTTAGACACGCTATATTAAACGAAAAAATTTATTGTCCCCCAGATACTTCAGTTCTATTAGCATCTTATGCGTGTCAAGCTCGTTTTGGTGATTACCACAATGATGTGCATAACACAGATTTTTTAAAAAAACAGCGACTCCTACCCAACAAGTAATAAAGAAAGATTAAGTAAAAGAAAGATTTTGATCGATTTCTTTGTTTCCGCAGAGTTTATAATCAACATAAAATGAAGCCAGAGGAGTTCCACGAAACAATATTAAATATGTGGCTAAAACATCGTGGAATGATGAAGCAAGACGCAATGACCGAGTATTTAAAGTTAACGCAAAACTTGGAAATGTATGGAGTTCATTATTTTGAGATACACAATAAACGAGGGACGAAATTGTTGCTTGGAATCCATGCGATAGGGTTAAACATTTATAAATTATCGGATAAAATGAATGCGATCATTATGTTTCCGTGGTCGGAAATTAAAAACATCAATTTTCGAGATAAAAAATTCACAATTAAGGGTTCTGATAAGAAATCGTCCGATTTTATTTTCTTTTCGAAAGATGGATATTTAAATAAAAGAATTTTAAATTTGGGTAATTATTAACTTTTTATAAATTTATAAAAAATTATAAAATGTTTTTAGGTGTTGGAAATCATTATTTATACGTTCGTAGAAGAAAACCGCCAACGTTAGAAGTGATCCAAATGAAAGAAAAAGCAATGGAACAAAAAAAAACGTTACACGAACAAAGAACTCGCCTACAATCGGAAATTTCCGCAAGAGAAGAAGCGGAAAAACGCGAAAAATTATATCAAAATCAGCTTCGTTCGCTTCGCGAAGAAGTTGAACGTAGTCGAAATTCTTTACTCGAGGCTCAATCGACAATTCAAAAATTAAAAGATCAACTTTTTGAACTACAACGTGCTAAAGATGAACTCGAAAAGCAACAAAATGAGCTTAAATATTTAATGGAAAAATTAGAAGAAAGTAAAAACATGGAATCGGTTGAAAAACGAAAATTGGAGGACGAAATTTTAGCGAAACAAATGGAAGTTGCGAAAATACAAGAAGAAGTTGAAGCGAAAAATTTAGAAACGATGCGGTTACAAGAAGAAGTTGAAATGGCGAAAAGAACGGAGGAAGAGTTGAGGATGCAACAATTGAAAGAAATTGCTGAAATGACGAGAAGGGAAGAAGAAAAAGAATTGGAATCGTTACCGGAAAATGCTAATGATGAACTTCCCGAATTGGTACTTGTAAATGAACAGCTAAGAGAACAATTAAAGGTAATTAATTTAATCATTAATCAACAAAAATTAAACCAAAAATTTTAGATTTTACAAGATAAATTGGAGAAATCCCTGGATGAAACTAAAGAAACGGAATTGGATAAACTTCATAGAGATAATCTAAAAGAAGGTAGAGACAAGTACAAAACTTTAAAAGAGATTCGAAAAGGAAATACTGTAAGAAGAGTAGATTTATTCGAAAATCTATAATGTAAAAAAAATTCATGTTCAAGGATTAGTTGTTGTGAAATTGTTGTTTTATTAAGATTGTTATCTTACTTTTTAAGTTATTAATTGTATAGATTGTAAAATTAATTTAATTTTTAATAAAAAAATTAAAAAAATTGACATGCCGATAAAGTAGATTCCTTTATTCTTTATGTAGATCACATATCAATGTCGAAATCAGTTTATTAGTTACTAATTTACAAAATTAAAGTTTAACAAGTTGTAAAATGAAATTAAGGACGAAGTGTTACAAGTTTGCAGGTTAAAATTTAAGATCTCTCTTTTTTAATAAAAGAAATATTAAGAAACTTGAGAAAAATTGAAATGATAACTAACTTCAGGTTTTAAATATCAACCTCAATTTTGACACATTTGTAATCTTCATTAAAAATCCTTTAAAATGAGTACAAACACGACATATTTATCTTCAATATTAATGAAGTTATGGTCAACTTCCGGTTAGGAATGTCAACGACAATTTTGACATATTTGTAATCGTCGTGAAAAATCCTTTAAAATGAGTCCAAACATGATACGTTTAATTCCAATATTACTCGAGANGCGTCTTCAGACTTTCCTAAGTTCTTGTCTAAGACGCCCGGCTAAACCTAAAACTTTCTAGTTCTAGGTAAAATATGTTTTTTTTTATGTAATCCACTTACCTTGCTTATGAGTTCATCCATTTACCCAGTTTCAATTAAATACAACCTTTAAATCTAATTAATTATGTGTTTTTCATTAAAAAATCTTAAATTCAACGTCAATTTTGATAAGCATCTGCAATGTTTGGATCTTAATCACCATGGTAACCGAGTCAAGTTGGATAACCTAACAATAATAAAATTATAACCGTTAATATTTCGCTTATATTTTAATCTTTTTTTTTATATTTTTGTGTATTGCTTCTTAAGTGAAATACACTGTATAAATAAAAACATTGAAATGTCCCTCGATGAAACTAACAGAAGGTAGAGACAAGTATAAAACTTTAAAAGAGATTCGAATAGAAAATACCGTAAGAAGTTCAAGGATTAGTTGTTGTGAAATTATTGTTTTATTAAGATTGTTATCTTACTTTTTAAGTTATTAATTGTATAGATTGTAAAATTAATTTAATTTTTAATAAAAAAATTAAAAAACTTGACATGTCGATAAAGTAGAAACCTTATAATAATTTCCATTAATACTAATACAACAAGATCAATCATTTGTACTAAAATACATTTTAACCAATCTAAGGAAAACGTCAATACCTTTTTAATTATTTATTTAATAAAAAACCGCTATGTATTTTTAGATTAATCCATAAAAAAGCCATTAAATCGTTTTGATTCAATTTATCAAGTTTAATAAGTACTTATAAATCAACATCAATCAACATTCATAACCTCGTTTTTTCAACAACAATGATAAACATTTACTTTTTAATAATTACTGGGTATTAAAATATCGAAAAGGAATAAGTACAAAATAAATTTTGTGATTATGACTACTTTTATCGCTGTGCATTGCGGTGAGTACAAAAAATTAATAAAAATTGATTAAAATTTATAAAAAACAAACAGGAGCAGGTCATCATAACGAAAAAAATCACCCCAAATATAACAAATTAGCCAAGAAAGCATGTCGAGCTGGAATTAAAATCTTAAAAGATGGGGGTTCAGCTTTAGATGCTGTTAAAGCAGCCGTAACCGGTACCGAAAAATAAATCTATTGAAGACGGTTAAAATGTGTGGTTTAGTTTTAGAAAATGATCCCTTAACGAATGCTGGTTTTGGTTCTAATTTGACAACGAATGGTTGTGTTGAAGGTGATGCCTCAATAATGGATGGATCTACGTTGTTTTATGGTGGTTGTGGGGCCGTTCAACAAGTAAAAAACCCTATCGAATTAGCCCATAACCTCTGTTTAAAACAATCAGAGACTCTCCCAATGGGATTAATCCCACCATCTTTACTCGTAGCAGATGGAGCTCAAGATCACGCGAAAAGGGAAGGTTTAAAAACTTGTTTAAATAAGGAATTAATTAGTCCAAAGGCTTTAAAACAATTTTATAAATATAAAAAGCTTATTGATGAACATGAAAATACGTTAGATCAAGATGGAGAGAGGATGGATACCGTAGGGGCTGTTTGTATAGATAATTTAGGGCGAGTTGCTTCAGGATGTAGTTCTGGGGGGTTAATTATGAAGCGTCCTGGAAGGGTGGGACAAGCAGCTTTATATGCAAGTGGAGTTTGGGCCGATTCTTTTAATCGAGATGAACCTTCCGTCGCAGTTTGCACAACGGGATGTGGCGAACATTTGGTTCAAACGCAATTAGCGAAAGAAATCGGGGTTAATATTAAATATTGTGGGTGTCCCACGACTGAATTATATAAAATTATGACGGAAAAATTTTTAAGTATGTTAATAATAATGAAATATAATTGGATAACTTTTTTTGTCCACGACTACCTTATACTAAATGAGTTTATATAACTTGACAGATTAATAATAATTATTTGAAACGTCAAAATTTCAAAAAACGTCAATTTAATTCAATTTTCTAAAGGTTGACATTAAAAAAACTTAAACAAATTCCTTTTTTTGTATGATTTAAGCTTAAATTAATTAATTTTCGTAAAAAAATATGACGTTTCATAAAATTGACATTTAATTTTGACAAATTATTGTGAAGTTGGTTACAGTTGGTAACATTGAATTTCTGTCACATTGACGTTTAAACTTTATTCAAAAATTTATTTAAAAAAATTAGTTTTAAAGGGTAGTCATTTTTCACAGAGTGAATAATAGCGGTGAATAATCATTATTCACGGGTAATCAACTTGACAGACTAATAATAATTATTTGAAACGTCAAAATTTCAAAAAACGTCAATTTAATTTAATTTTTTAGGACTTTCTAAAGGTTTAGCATTAAAAAAACGTAAACAAATTCCTTTTTTCGTATGATTTAAGCTAAAACTAATTACGTTTAATTATTTACGTTTCATAAAATTGACATTTAATTTTGACAAATTGTTGTGAAGTTGGTAACATTGAATTTCTGTCACATTGACGTTTAACTTTATTTAAAAAAATAAATTTATGGAATCAATTTCAATAGTAGTCGTGGACAAAGTATAGTAATCTACTCATTATAATATATACTAGCTCATTATATGCTCGTATAATAATTTACTATTTTGTAGAATCTAGATTTTTACATAACGTTAAACAAAAAAACGGCGGAGCTTTGGTGTTGCACTTATCGAAAAATGGTGAGTGTTCGATATTGTGGGCTCATTCAACCGAATCGATGAGCGTTGCGTATATGAAATCAACGGATAATCAACCGAAAGTACGATTAAGTTAAAAAGATATTAAAAAATTAACCAATTTGCTTTTAGAGTACCATTTCTCAATTACCTGATCACGTTGAGGTTGGATCCACGGTGAATGTGAGTGGGAATCACTTTTTCTTGCAACGATAACGAATGTTGTGATTATTTAGATAATTTTTTTGTAATTAAATTATTAAAAACTATTAGTGTTTGAATTTAAATTGATATACAGTGTGTGTCAAATGTCTGGAATATAGCCAATAACTTCGCCATTTGTGGTTTTAAGGAAAAATGTTTCAAATACAAGTTTCTTTATTAATCATGACGCATTTTTTGGCGATATTTGCTTGTTTGCATTGGTTTTTGTTTCGTTGCTATGGCAACCAACATCGTAATTTTAAATGGGATGCATATATTTTTTTTGCATACTTTAATAGAGGATAAGTCCTTCTATGCGATGAACATATCAAATCATATGGTTGTATAAGAAAAAAATGCGTTTTTTGAAAGAGTAAAAAAACACATAAAAAATAAGTTTAAAAAATTACAAAAATTGTTCGAAATGTCCGCCTTCAGCTTGAATGCACGCCTCACATCGACGAAGTAAAGATTCTATCACACGACGTATGATTTTTGGATCATTCCGTATGCTATTAGCTGCATCTTGAATTCTGTCCAGTAGTTGCTGACGGGTAGTCATTTCTACATGGTACACAAGCTGCTTCATGTGTCCCCAGAAATAATAATCCAGCGGATTTAGATCTGGGGATCGTGGTGGCCAGACTACTGGCCAATCTAATTAACTACCTCCATTGCCAATCCATTTGTTTGGAAAATGTTCATGTAACCAAGCGATGACTTCTCTTCCTCGATGTGGTGGTGCACCATCGTGCTGATACCACATATTTTGAACGATGTTAAGTGGTACATCGTCGATAAAATCGAAAAGGTTATGTCCCAAGAAATTTCTGTACATATTTGCATTTAAGCGTTCATTTATCACCCATACAGGTAGCAAAGAATTGTTAAAAATGCCACCCCAAACGTTTACACTAAACCGTTGCTGAAATCTTCCTGGTCTAATTGCATGTGGATTTTGCAAGGACTACACATGTTCGTTATGATAATTATTTATGCCGTCCCTATTTAATCGTAAGTTATCTTGAATTATAGACATGAAAATTAACTTAATTAATTAAATTAAGGAAAGTTACCACTTATCTGATAAATAACTTTTAGGTTATGTTGAAACTCAATTCGATCGAATCGGTCCCTCTTAGGAATAAAAAATGGACAGGAATCGGGAAAGCTTCGGTTCGGATAATTATTCTTCAATCGGATCTTGTTGCGAGAGTGCGGAAATTTTTCAGGAACACAGGTAATTTCTCCTCAGTTTATTTTCGATATTTAAATTTATTAAATTCAATTTAATTCTTCTTCTTTTCTTTCTTAGGTTATATAAAATCGTGATTCGACGTTAAATTTGGATTGAAATCGGAGAACCAATTTAAGGTTAGGAAACTACTTTTGACTTTTTTTTTAGGTTAGATTTTTTATCAAAATTCAACCGTGCTCTTGCCCTTACTAAAATGGACTGCGTTGGTTGGCCTTGGTTCAACTTCTTATATACCCTTTTCCCCTTCTCCAGAAAATTTTCTTCCTTCTATTTTTAACCCTCGCTCCTGATTGGTTGATGGGTTTCGCGCCATTTCTTCCCTTAAAATAATTTCAAATCTTTCTAAATTTCGAAAATGCCATCTAGCGGGTTTCTTTCGAACTACTCAAAATTCCAAATCTTATTTAATTCATATCTGCTTTAATTCTTTACCAATCTAGATGAAACTGCGTATTTGATGCATATATCCTTCTATTTCAGCGGTGCATTGGAGGTTTCAAGATTCTCCAACCACAAAAGAAGTTTGAATTTTACAAATTTTAAATTCAATTTTCAAAGTCAAAATCGTTCAAAATCTTTCGGAATCTAATAAATTAGATGTAGCTGACACTGATTTTACCGTTTTGGATGGTTTAGAAAGGATATTAACAGTTTTGAGAGAATTATGAGTAACTAAAAAGTAACTGTCAACTAAATTGAGGTTATGTTTCTTTCTCAGGTGAAACTTGTCTCGGAAGCTTTATTATAATACCATCTCTCAAGATTGGGCAATAAATAACCTCACTTTTTTACTAAGAATGAAGTAATTGGTATTGCAAGAATGTTGAGATTATCAAGATCGAATTAATTAAAAAATAAATTTATTTCTTACCTTAACACTAAATTAAGTAGCAAAAATAAAAACATTTTAACCTAAAACCTTTGGGAATACAAACGATGAATAACTTGACTTATAACAGGTCCAATCGTTTTATTCCCTTTAAAAGTAATCGAAGAAATTAATTTTTCCCCTTCATCACCAGCGTTTTGATTATAAGCTTCAATTAAAAGTCGTGGAGTTGGATATTTATCAACGATTGCTAATGCTTTATCAATCGATAACCCTTTCAATGAAGTGAGGTGTTTTATAAACATCTCTTTTACGGTAAAATCCTATAATTACATTTAATTATTAATTAATATTTAAAAAAAAAATTAAATTTACTTTATATTTAGCCCCAATTTTCATAAAATCCTCAAACGTTAAAGCCCAAATAACGTCATCTTTGAAATTCGAACGTTCCAAGTTTTCTTTTTGACAACTTAAAATTGTTTTAGCCTAAAATAAAATATTTTAATGCAAAATTTTCTTTTTAAATAACCTTACCAAATAATTTTTATTTATAATTTTACTCATATCATTTAAATAATGTCCCGTACTTTTTGCATTATCACAAAACTTAATCATAAACCCATCTTGAACCATTGTATTGATTGCAGCTTGCATTAAACTGGTCATTGGAAGCCCAACATGAACATTTTTCCCCAAACTTTCCACTAAATAAATCTTATTTTGTACCCCACATTGTTTCAAACGAAACTTTTGTTCGTGATAACGCCCATCTTTAATGCTTTTTCCAAAATCATCCATTCGTTTCCTTTCGATGATATAGGGAAGAACTAATTCTTTTTTTGTTGTTTTATGACGACATATCCAAAGGTAATCACCAACTTTTAAATGACGAATTTCAAAGTTTACTTTTAAACGATTTAATTCGCTTATAATTGGATCATCTTTTGATTGATCTTTACCGGAAGTTTCTAATGTATCAACAAGAAGGATTATTTCAAACGAATTTGGTTCAAATATTAATGTTTCGAACGTTAATGTTGATTTTGTACTATTTTTAGTTTGATTTTTGTGATTATTTGGATCTATAATGTTACAATGCATTAATTCATCAATATTAACATGTTCTAAATTTGAAGTTGTTTTATTTGATTCTAATTCTTTATGGATTAAATCATCAAATAATTTTTTTGCAATTACTTTTCCTTTATCTGTTAAAGAATATTTAGTACTTTGTTTAATAACATAATTATTATTGATTAGAGTTTCCATTGAAGACCAAGCACCGGGTGTAACTGTTTTAAAAGATGAATCACAATAAAATTGAGCTTTATCAAGAATTTCTTTTTTATTCAACGAAGCTTTTGTACTTTCAAACAACGCGATTAATATTGCATAATCTCCAGATCGATGTTCAGGGGTATAAATTGATTCATTTGATACATTGAAATTTTCTTTCTCTTGATTCCGTTTATCTTCTTTTAATTTGTCATCGAGCATTTTACATAATTTATCACCGAAACCTTTCAATATTTTACAATCACGCCCCGATTCTAAAGGAATCGGATATCGTTTTAACGATTGCAAAGCTGTTGAGAAACAATATTGCATTTTTGATTCTTTCGCTTTTGCTTCATCTCGCCACTCGATTAACCACTTTTCAAAAAGGGGGTTTGGTGTTTTTAATTTGAGAGTTATCCGCTTTTTAGACATCTATCTAAAAAAATAATAAATAACATAACCTAAAAGTAAACATAACCTCAAAATTTTTTACTTTGTGAGTTTGGTTTTAATTAAATAAACTTTATTGAAATACTAACGTTTAGTTAATAAAGTAAGCGTTAATTTTTGTCTAATTAGTTTTTAATATCAGATCCTTGGTAGAAAAACCCCAATTTGAATAACCCACACTATAAGGTTAACCAACTCGAACAAATTGACGTTGACGGGGTGAGGTAGGAAAGGTGACGTCATTGGAGGAAAAGTATAATATAATTGACATGTATCTCAATAAAACACAAGTTCTTCACTAACTATTTATTCTAACAATAAGACTATATAAATTATTTCACTTTCGACAAAAAACAAACTTCGCTTTCGACTAACTACTTTCTTCTTGCTGGCGTCCTTTTTAGAACAAACTCTCTGTAATACAGTTTCCTGTAATATTATAGTTCCCTACACGTTAATAATATACAGAGTGCCTATTATGTATGGAATATAGTATACAGTATTGTTCAGTTTTTAATCAAGAAACTTTACTAGGACGTAGTACTTCCCAAAATGACACAAGTTTTTTATATAAACATAGGGTCGCAACTCTTTGTTTTCGAGCTATGAGCTGTCAAAGTTGAGTCAAAAATTTACATTTTTTTTTGTATTTCGGCTATAAGTAAACCGTAGAATTTATTATACGCTTATTTTCAAGCGTACCTTAAACTTCCTTAGCGCCCTTTAAGGGGATGAAATTCACCACCCCCCTGATTTTTTTTATAAGAACTTTTTAACACTGTAGAATATTAATATAAAAAAATATGGGTTGTAAAACTCATTTTTTAGTGGTACTTTTTTGCCTCTTTAGTATTTTCCTTAAAGTTAATAGTTTACGTGTAAAAAAAAAAAATATCGTGCCATCTGCCGCTATGTGGAGCCATGTTTTATTAAAATTATTCCAAAAGTTGGCTCTGAAAACTTGTAATTAAATTGGTATCTTAATTGTTGCTAACTTCGGATGTAACGTTTTTTTATTCAAACTTTTTTTCAGATTTAAATGTCAACCTCAATTTTGACATATTTGTAATGTTCATTAAAAATCCTTTAAAATGAGTACAAACACGACATATTTATCTTCAATATTAATGAAGTTATGGTTCCGGTTAGAAATGTCAACGTCAATTTTGACATATTTGTAATTGTCGTGAAAAATCCTTTAAAATGAGCCCAAACACGATACGTTTGATTCCAATATTAGTCGAAATGTAAGCAACTTCCGGTTTGAAATGTCAATGTCATTTTGAGATATTCTTAATTTTTATAAAATGTCTTAATATTTGCCACAAAAACAAAAATATCAAAAAAAAAATAAAAGTTAAGGTTGGTATTAATATTTAAAAATTAAATTGTCACCTCCATTGTTGCTAACTTCGGGTTTTACGTTTTTTATTCTAACTTTTTTGTATTTTGAGATAAGTATTTTGAGACTCATATCAAAGGTTTTTTAATGAAGATGACGAATATGTCAAAATTGACGTTGACGTTTCAAACCGGATGTGATTGTATTTTCATTAATATTAAAGTTAAATATGTCGAGTTTGGACTCATTTTAAAGGTTTTTTTATGAAGTTGACAAATATGTCAAAATTAAAAGTTGAAAGTTCGAAATGCGTCAAGTTTGGACTCATTTACCCATTTTGCATTAAATACAATCTTTAAATCCAATTAATTATGTGTTTTTCATTAAAAAAAACTTAAATTCAACGTCAATTTTGACAAGCAACTGCAATATTTGGATCTTAATCACCATGGTAACCGAGCCAAATTGGATAACCTTAAAATAATAAAATTTTATTCCGATTTTTTTATCAATTCTAACCTAATTTTTATTAATTTTAAAACAATTCTAATTCTTTATGATTATCTCACATTCATAACAAATTCGTTAATTGTAGTTAATTTAAATCGATTCTAATTAAGAGAAATAAATTAAAAATATCCTTTTTGATTTAATCCACTTACCTTGTTTATAATACCCTAGATAAACCAATTTTGAGTTAAATACAGCCTTTTAAACCAATTAAATAAGACTTTTTCCTTAAAAAAACTTAAATTCAATTTCAATTTTGACAAGCACCTGCAATATTTGGATCTTAATCACCATGGTAACCGAGTCAAGGTGGATAACCTAACAATAAGAAAATTATAACCGTTAATATTTCGCTTTATATTTTAATATTTTTTTAATTTTATTAAAAACAGAAATGTTAATACTTCCAATGACGTAACAGCTAGGCCTTTGCGGGAGGATACGTTCATAACATGTGTATCTATCTCAATCTATCTTCTAATATCTATCAATCAGCAATCATAACCTCAATTTTTTTTATTAAAAATAAATTTAAATAAATAAAAATACTTATTGATATTTTTATTCGTTTATTTTGAGAATTGAGTGCATAACAGCCACATTTCTGATAACAACGGATATAATATATATTTTATACTTTATAATTACTTGCATAAATTACTTCGCAAATATAAGGAACATTATAATAATTCTGTTTTTACCGCGCTAATATAATATTTTAATATATACAAGTGTTTAACAACTTGAATCCCTACATTTTACTCTTTTTATACGTTAAAACCTAGAATTAATCAAAGTTGCCACTAAATTCTTGCTTTTCGGGTTCAAATGCAACAAGTCCAAGGAAAAGAAATTATTGAGATAACCCCTAAATGTTATAAATATTATTTATATACAAAAAGAAACAACTATTACAGCAATTAATAAGTTATTTACAATCTTCTTTTAATAATTGGGACGCAAAAATGATTCTGATCACTAAAATTACACCTAACCTTTCATTTTTTTAAATTTTTACCTATTAATCACTATCTAAACCTAATTTGTTAATTTAATTCTAATTTTCATTTTAAAAGTGATACAAGTGGTACATTGCACGTGTAAATTGAAGTTGTAAAAGAATATGAAAAAGAAAAAAGCATAAAAAGAGGAACCAATACTAAGTACTCAACGCTGATATGTTAGCCCCCTTTTTTCTCAAATTTTTAAACGTTAATAAATATAAAGAAGTATCACAAGACGCATATACATATTACAATATTATAAAGTTTTGTTCGTGTGTTGAGAGTATTTTTTTAGAATGTTAAAAAGACAATTTATTAAAGAATCGCCTCCTTTAATAACCCCTCAGTCATTCTCCAGTATCAACCCATTTACTCTCCTCGATTATCCGTTCAAAACAATCCAACAAATACATGTACTAAAATAGAAAATAAATATTAATCATTAATTTAAAACATTATCTAATACTTACATAAGGCGTATATATTTTAACCCATTTCGGTGATTTATCAACTCGGTTATATTTAATACAAAACGCTGTAGCTTCATCATCAGCTTCCCATTGAGATATCGAGTCCCAATTTAATGCAACAACCTGACTCTCCAACGTTCCATCTTCCCGGCACGCGTGTAACTTTAAATTTTGACTACCAACCGCGACTATAACGTGCCCACCTTTACGCGTATCGCAACCGCAATGTGGAAAAACAACATCTCCATACCCAGGAAGTTCCCTGGCCAATTTAAGGTACTCCGTGGCTCTCGTACTATCTTGGAGCGCTTTTAATTGATAAAGACGTTCCCCGGCTTGAATACAACCACGGTTTACTTCATCGACGGCTTGCCAAAAAATGTAATGAGTCGCTTGCACATCATGCATTAATGATAGCTCCTTCGTTAACGAGAATAACCATTTTCGAACACAAAGACATGTACTTGTAGCTGTGCTATAGTTTTGTATGTAGAGGTTGTGCGGGTATTCAGTAGGTTGTAATTTGCGTTCTAAAAAAAAAATAATTAAATTTTTAATAAACATAACCTCAAATTTTTTTTTATCACTTTTTTTAATATGTAATTAATTAAATTATATAAAGAAAATATATTATTTATTTAAACTAGGTAATTTTAATTAAATTATATTAAGTCGTTTCAAAATGATTAATTACAATAAATTAAAAGAAAAAACATAACCTCAAATTTTTTTTTAACAGTTTAAATGTGTAATTAATTAAATTATATAAAAAGAAAGATATTATTTATTTAAACTGGGTAATTTTAATTAAATCTAAATCGATTTAGTCGTTTCAAAATGATTAATCATAATAACTTTAAAAAAAAGAACATAACCTCAAATTTTTTTTTTCACTTTTTTAATATGTAATTAATTAAATTATATTAAAAAAAGGATATTATTTATTTAAACTAGGCAATTTTAGTTAAATTTAAATCGATTTAGTCGTTTCATGATAAAATTGTATTGTTTTGAAAAATTCATTAAAATTATGCCACGACTTACAGAAACACCTGTATAACCTGAAATTAGAAACAAGTCATAAAAATCCCTCCAATAAAGATAATTTTAAATCAAAAATTGTTAAATTACAAATTAAAAAGTCATTTAGACGTTAATACAACGAAATTAAGATAAAATTGTAATTTTTAAATGTTGAAATTAATTAATTTGATTACTTGAGGCGCCATCTATGTGTAAAAAACGGTACAATAAAAAAATTGGCAAATTAACCCATTTTAATTAATTATTAACCAAAAAGTACTTTCTATAAGTAATTACGCTATAATTAATTTACCAATTATGATTTGTGGTGTTTCCGAAAAAATAATTCCCAACCTAACCTCACTTTTGTTTCCATAACCTCAATTTTATTTATTTTTTTGCGTATAAAATGAATAAAGATACCTTAAAAATCGGGATTCTAGAATCCGATTTTCTGTTCTAAGTTTAACCGAGGGTGTCTGCAACCCTGGTTGTAATACATAATGCGGAGCCTCGCCCGCAAGCGACCTCGGCTTTGTTATAAATTTAGCTGAGGTTGCTGGGGGATCAATTTTGAATCATCAAAATGGCTTGAAAAGTGTAGTCAATCATTATGGTTTATTCCATCTCGTTATTTAATAAATAATTCTTTTGAATCTAAAAATTTTTCCACTTAAATAACAAACAAATTACACCCACAACATTTTTTTTTATAGGTTATGTATATAAACTGAAATTAGAAACAAATCATAAAAATCACTCCAATAAAGATAATTTTAAATCAAAAATTGCTAAATTACAAATTAAAAAGTCACTTAGACGTTAATATAACGAAATTAAGATAAAATTGTAATTTTTAAATGTTGAAATTTTAAATTAATTTGATTACTTGAGGCGCCATCTATGTGTACAAAACGGTACAATAAGAAATTGGGAAATTAACCGATTTTAATTAATTATTAACTAAAAAGTACTTTTTATAAGTAATTACGTTGTAATTAATTTACCAATTATGATTTGTGGTGTTTCTAAAAAAATAATTCCCAACCTAACATCATTTTTGTTTTCATAACCTCAATTTTATTTATTTTTAAATAACCTCGATCAAATTCTTTATAATCCAACCCAAATAAAGGATTAGTAAACCTGGGGCCTCATCTTAATTAAATGAAATCATACATTTCTGTTCTAAGTTTAACAAAGAACTGATTAAGTACATTAAAAGAACATAACCTCAAATTTTTTTTACTTACCAAAATTATACTCAACGATTTCGAATAAATAAAAATATTTAGCTGTACTTTTGTTCATATTGATTTTTTTAACCACCATATCGTATACATCATCAGCATTTGCGCTTTTTCTTAATGTAACGGTTATAACCTCTCTATCGGGTAATAAAACCTGCAATAAAAAAAATTAATGCATAATAAAATACGAATTTGTTTATGTTGTACTTTTAAATCAACAGGACTACTATTATTCTCATCATCTTGATCGGTTAAAAATTCCTGCATAATATCAGACTCTGCAATAACCCTGACGGCGCAAACTCTCTCTAAATATTGTTCTAATCCTCTCCGGCGTGCATCTAATTGTTGTTCACTGAGTGTAAACGGCCATTTTCCGGGTAATTTGGGAAAATTAAAACCTAAAAGTGAAAAAATTTGATGGGGTTATAAAATTTGATTGGATTCTAACCTATAAATTCCTTTTTTAAATCGTTATGAAGTTTTGCGAATTCTCGATACCTTCTCGAGCACAAATGTCTACCAGCCATGTAAATATTGAAAGCCACGTAGCGTTCACCACCTCGTTCATTGTAATTATAATCAGGAATGCTTATTGGAAGAGATCTTTTTTCACTGTAATCGATGTAAGAGTAACCCTGAGTGTCATCGGTTGGTTCTAAACGTTCAGCTTCCTTAAAAATACATTTAGGTTTATGATTTAATAGAAAAGTATTAATAAAAGTGTTTATACCTGTTGTGTTACTGAAATAACGGTTAAAGTTAAAACATCACCTCCAGATTTAATTAAATCGACGACTTGTTTGTGAGTAGCTCCTTCAACATTAACACCATTTCTACAAAATAAAAATTTGTTGTTTTGAGATAGATTAAAGAGTATCTTTGGAATTTTACCGAAAATTTAAAACATTTTCTAAATAAACATGATGATAACTCAACATTTTATCGAGACGACACAAAGAACAATATTGAGAATTGTGAGACGTTGAAAAAAATTTTTATTTTATAATTTGACCTTCCTTTAAGGTAAGGTAAAGAATTTGAAAGTACTTTCTCTGGGCGAACATGTACGGATCTGGTTTGACTGCTCTCTTCAAGGTGGACAGTTAATTAATAAAAAAATTAAAATCCTTAAAGAACAAGGTGATAATGTGCAAAGATATTCCATAGAAAAATTGCATCTTGGGCATTGTTTGAGTTTCTCATCATCCAAGTAAATTATGAGTTAAAAAGTGAAAGGAATTAAGATGTTATATAAGCCATGTTGTAAATAGGCAATAAATTAAAAAGGTGTTTGACCTGAATGTCCATTAAATTAGCAATAAAATTAAAAGAAGAAGAAACACAAAGTGTTAACTTTTTTAACCTTAAGAAATCAAAAATAAACAATTTATTCAATTTAAATCCGTTAACAAAACACTTAAATTTAACTAATCTAAACAACAGATATAAATAATCGAATCAATTTATCAAAAATCTTGAACTTTCAATAAAAAAACTCCAATCTGAAACAGATCAATAACCCCATCAAAAAAAAACGTGTTTTAACCCATAAAAACAACAAAACACCCCAACCAAACAAAAAAACTATTAAAGAGTCAATAACAAAACGAGATTTAAATACAAAAATCAATAAAAACTTCCTTCTCCTTCTCATTCACCTCATAAAAATCGTTTTCTCATTCCTTCGTTACTTACACTTCTAAAATACGATCCCCTTTTCTTATCCCAGCTTGTTCCGCGGCCCCCCGATCTAAAACGGCGCTTACATGTTGTAACGGGGCGTACAATTCGCCGTTAATGCTGCGCAATTGGCCCCCTTCGCTTACTTGTCCGCGCACGTTAAAACCAAACCCCGTTTCCGTCTTATTAATGGTGACAACGCGGGGGCCGTTCGCCCCATCAGTTAGCTTCATATTGTTCAAAACTCGCGGACTATTACTGTTTTGAACAACCACTTCCGCCATCATCGCGCGTCCGCCCCCCGGAACAAACCCGGTCAACGAACAACTATTTTTTTGACAGGTGTCAGATTGAAGTTTCAAGTAAACACATTTTTGCGCTAAAATACAAATGATCTAACAAGTACAAATTTTTGTTTTAACTTTATTTATTTAAAGTCTGTTAAGCATTGAATTAAATTTAATGTTTTTGTTAACTTTTGATTAATTAAAAATAATTTAAAATTGATATTTTTGAAATAAAACCTTTGACAGATTCAATTTAAAATCAATACAAACACCAAAACCGATGTTGTCAAAGTTGTTGTGATTTTTAAGTAAAAAATGACCTCAAATAGTTTTTAAACAATTAAATATGATTAAGGAATGAATACCCAAACGTTAATTTGTCCAATATGCTCGATGTACTTAAATCAAGGTACTTTATTGGTGGATCATTTAAGTAGTCACTCGAAAGAAAAAGTGGTTGAGCTTTTATGGAAAAATGACGAAAAGAATGAAAAAAGCGAGGCAAAGACTGTGATAGATACAAAAATTGAGGTGGAATCGCCTCAGCACGAAGAAAATGATAGTGAGACAAGCCCGAGGTGTTCTTATGTGTTCAAGAATAGATCATCCGATGTCAATTTGGTTTTCGATAAAGAAGTAGATGAGGATAGTTTAGGTTCGGATGATTTAAACGAAAATTTTGAAAATATATTGATCGTTATTATTGTAGTAGCCGTTATTATATTATATTTAAAAATGTAGGGATTTAAATAAAAAATAGTTTCCAAAGAAAAAATTTTATTATAATAAAAAAACTTTCTCAATTACAATAATAATTTGTCTAAGTAAAGAGTGAAAGGTAAAAATTATTGTACAAACCATTTAAGGCATTCAAAAAACTCCATTTCCTTCTTAAAATAAAAATTATGTCTCAGGGGATTGATTTGAGAATTGCAGCCCACATACCTTTATTGTTAAAAAGGTGTCTCTTTGAAAAGATTTTCTTTCCTTATTTCCTTTAAATTCTTTCATCTCTTTCACATCCTTAATTTCCTTACATTCCGAATCGCTTCGATGATATTTTGGACGCGATGTACTCGACGCTTCACTAAAACTCAAAGATTTCTGTCTATGAGCTTTTGGTTTATTATTAAACAACCCTTTAATTCGCTTAACGAATGGTAAAACCATATAAAATGAATGCGTACTCAATCCCATTTTAACTTTCGGTGTGTTATCTTTTTTATTATTGGGCAAATCAGCTATTGGGAACCATTCGCATGACTTTATTTCATTCCTAGTTCTCGGTTGGAACTTTGTGTTAAACGGAATCCCCGTTATAACATATAATCTTACTAATTGTTCGTGAATTACAGCTTCAAAATAATTTTCTGGATCGATTCGACTTGAAATATCAAATCCTGTTTCTTCGTATACTTCACGAACAGCACAATGAGCGGGATCTTCATCTTCGTTAACTTTACCTTTTGGGAAACCCCAAGAAGCTTTACCCCAATATCCTTGTACTAATAAGACATGCGAGTTTCCTTCAGACAATAAAATAGCTCCGTAAGTTGGTACAGATTGTTTATATTCGCGCCATTCTTCAAGTATTTCATCTAAACGGTTGTAATCTCGTTTTAAAAACGGCGAGTGGATGAAAACGTGAGCGGCAAACTCCTTAAAACCACAACTTCTCAATTTCGTTTCGCCGTTTACGTAGAAATCTAAGTAGTACCAGTAAGCCAACTCGATTTGGAAACATATTCGTATCAAGTTCTGTTTGGCTGTGTCCGGGACGTTTATGACAAACCTCCTGAGGCAATTTTAATTTTAAAAAGGGTCATTAAAGGAAAAAAAAGCTTACGCTATTAGGTCAATCAGCACGTCCATTGGTATCGAGTGCTGCGTGGTCCTTAATTCTACCTCCATATTATATTCCATCGTTCACATTTGTTTAATTAATATTCTGGAACTGGAATAAGCGCGAAAATTCGGCCTTTGACTATGAAAATTGGTTCGAAAACACAAATTGCGCATCGCTTCGCTTTTTTACGACCGACATCTTTGTTTTGATTGCGTGACGTTTATTTTTATTGCCTAACCTTAAAATAAAAATGTAAAAATAGTTATATTTTTAGCCCTAAAAACACTTTTATTTATTATTTTGTTGTAATAAATTGTATTAAGTAATTAAATTAATTTAATTGTTTGGGATAAATTTAAATTAAGAAATGTTTTAAATTTATTGTTAACCTAAAGGAAGAAAATTCCCTAAATTTAAAATCTTTTTTGAAAAATCGTTTTTATTTTCGAAATTAATTTAGCATCATATCTTTTTTAAGTCTTAAACATTTTAATTAGTTGTTAAAATTAAATTAATTCATTAAAATTCGATTAAAATTTGAATTTATTCAGCGTGAAATTAGCCGGGTTTTAGTGTGTTGGTATTCGATCTCCACGCAGAAAGTTTTGTTTTCAGTTAGTACAGTTATGGTGGAGGTGTTCGGGAGTTAGTGTCCCTTTAAAACGATGGCCGCGTCCCTAACCCACGACCAGGAATGCGTAAGTTTCGTTTAAAACGTTTTAGAATTAATTTAGGTTCAAAAACATCGCTTTTACATCGCTTGGGAAGCGGTAAAAATCCAAAAATAAAAAGTGTTTACGTCCGGTAGCAACTGTTGAAACTTAAAACGAAACCAAAGCAAAAAAAATTTAATTCTTAATCGGATTTGAAACGCCTACGCGTTAAAGTTTTTTATTAAAAAAAGTATTAATAAGATTTAATTAAAAACGTTTTTAAGGTTAGAAAATGCTGTGTTAACGTAATAAAAAAAAAGAATGACGATTTCATCTATTACTTATCTGTCATTTTTATTGTTGTTAAATTTTTTGTTTAATTAAAATGAGTCAAATTTTCTAAAGAAAATCGTGATTAATGTGAAAATTAAAAAAGAAAAGAGGATAAAAAAATAGAGAAAAACTGTTGAGGTTATTATTATTATTATGAATTCGAGGAAATGATTTAATTCGTGGAATACGATAATTTTTTATCGATATGGTTAAAAAAAAATAAACAGGAAAAAATACTTTTAATAATAAAATAATTTTTATTTAATTTGTTTATGCACAGGATGCGTTGTCCCCTTTTTTTTTAAATCATCCGTCGTCTAAAATAGCTCACGTCGGTGCTCCGGAAAGAATTTAGCCGGAAGTGGAAGCCGCTTGCAAACCGGAAATTGCTATTTATACATGATTGCCACAAAATATCCGAGGGAGACACCTAAAGTAGACTATTAAATTGAATCATAAAAAAGTTATTTTTAAGGTTAACTTATAACTGTCAAAGTTTGACATTTAAACGTCAAATTTAAATAACAAATTTTAATAATTTTGAATTGTTTTATTTTAGGCAACGAAAAATTTTATAGAATTAATAAATTCAAGGCCTAAAAGAAAATTAGGTCCAGTTAGTTGGTCGACAGCGGTAAAATTCCTATTCGCAAGAAAATTTGATGTGAGTAGAGCGGTGGCTTTATTCGATCAACACGAAGCGATCCGGCAAAGAGAAGGTTTGACTCGACTCGATTCAACGGAAGAACCCCTTAAATCCGAATTACAAACCGGAAAATTCACAATCTTGCCTAGTAGAGACTCGACGGACGCAGCAATCGCCGTTTTCACCGCTCACAAACACGTGCCAACATTAAGCACCCACCAGATGACACTGCAGGGTGTCGTTTACCAACTGGACGTGGCCCTTCAAAATCCCACAACGCAAAAAGCGGGGATCGTTTTTATTTACGACATGACCAATTCGAAATATTCAAACTTTGATTATGATTTGTCGCAGAAAATTCTCACCATGTTAAAGGTAAGATGCACAATTTTTTTTGCGTACTTTGAGATGAATGAAAGAGAAAAAAATTAGGAAGGAAATGGGGGGAGAAATAGAAAAGGAACGAATGAAATAAAAGGGAAGAAGTAGGAGAGAGAGTTTTAAAAAAATGCGTTGAGAATTTTAATCAGACGTTTAAGCGGCTCTTAGGTTGTGTGTGAGTCAGTTTGTATCCTGTCTGAGTTGAAGGTGTTCGGTTTGAAGAAGAAAACGGTGTTTAGTCAATTATAAGTGAGGTTATAATTTTATGGTTAATTAATAAGTTAAGAAAAATGAGTTTGGAGGATACTAAAAAGGTAAATTTTTAATTGTATTAATCGAAAAATGTAAAAATTTCTATATTAAAAAAAAGTTAAATGTCAGATTAAACGTTAAAATGACAAGTTAAATGTCACGTAGCTGTCAACTTTGACAACTGCTGTATAAACTGTCAAATATCAACTTTTGGAAAGGATGTCCTACTCTCGAATTTTCATTCTTTTCTTTCTCACTTCAACGTTTTTAACCAAAGCGAGAATGAAGCTTGAAAACTTATTCTATATTTGTGAGATTTATCAAAGGTTTGTTTCTTCATCACTTTTTGTTTTAGACCAACTTTTTAATAATAAATGTAGAAAGCACATCAGTATTCCCTTTAACTGTGGAAAATTTCTAAAAAAAAATTATTGCCACTATTTTTCCTGAAATTACTCTTGAATATCCATAAAAACGTCATTCTCGTATAATTCATATAGTCCATATCGTGCTATATTACGATTTCCTTGTAATAAAAGCTCCTAAATGAGATTTTTTAAACGATTTATCAGTTTTATTACTTTTCAACTAAAAAAATTATTAATTTGACAATGACAATTTATTTCAACCAACTTCACACAGTTATAATTTATATTTTTGGTTTTACTCCATAGATGGCACTTGGATAGCATTTAAGGCGAAATGTCAAATTTAATACTCAAATTGTCATTTTTGACGTTTAAGTAATTTCAACATTAAAATTAATAAAAAAAAGTACTTATTTAAAAGTTTTACATTATGAATTATTTAATTTTTAATTATTAATATTAAATGTAATTAATAATATTAAAATAAAAATAAAAAAGTTATTTTATATCATGATTTCTATCTAATCATTTAATTGACGTATAGATGGCGTAGCAAGTAACTCGAGAAGCGTCGCGACGTTTCAACTGTTGCATGAATAGATGTATCAAATATCAACTTTTGGAAAGGTGTCCCACTCTCGAAGTTTCATTCTTTTCTTTGTGACTTCAAAGTTTTTAACGAAAGCATGATAAGTACATTTATATGATTGGGTAGAATGTGTTAGCTCGAAATCTTATTCTATATTTGTGAAATTTATCAAAAGTGTTTCTTTATCACTTTTTGTTTCAGTCCAACTTTTTAATTATAAAAGTAGAAAGTGCTTCGGTATTTCCTTTAACCGTGGAAAATTTCTAAAAAAAGAATGAATAGATGCCACTATTTCTCTTGAAATTACTCTTGAATATCCATAAAAAATTGTCTTCTAGGACAATTCGTATAATCCGTGTAATAATAACGTGTTATTTTACGATTACTTTGTAATAAAAGCTCCTAAATAAGGTTTTTTAAACAATTCATCACTTTTCAACTAAAAAAATTATTTGACAATGACAATTTATTCTAACCAACTTCACACAGTTATAATTTATATTTTTGGTTTTACTCCATAGATGGCACTTAGATAGCATTTAAAACGAAATGTCAAATTTAATTCGAATTGTCATTTTTGACGTTTAACTTATTTAAATATTTTGAGTTATTAATATAAAATATAATTAATAATATTAAAATAAAAATTAAAAAAGTTTCTTTATTTTTCATCATGATTTCTATCTAATCGTTTAATTGAGGTATAGATGGCGTAGTTAGCTGTAGAAGCGTCGCGACGTTCGCTCGTTGTTGGCCATCGATCGGGCCCCCGCTTTTGCGTCACGACGTCGACGAGTACGACGGCTATTTGACGACGACGTTCGATCATATGTTCGCGTTGAACGTTTTTCCGTCCGACGTTATTGCCGTTTAGTGTACACCATCGATCAAAGTGAATCCCTGCGACAACGAGTACGAAATCAAAATACAAAAAGACGCGCAATTTGTTATTTTTTTTTTTTAATATTTTAATTATAAGTCGTGTTGCGTTGCGAATTGGTGGATAAGAACAATTTAAATGTTGATGAAGTGAAAATTTCGTTAGTGCATAAATCTTAAGAAGTGATTAATTTTTGGATTCTGTTTGCGGATTTCATAAAAGTAAGATTTTTTTTTATAAATTATTAAGTTTTTCTTAAAAAAAATTTTTTCCATAACGAAAACTTATTGCGTAACAAAAATGCGCGGATCCGTGAATGAAAAGAAAAATTGTAAATAATTACAAACACGTAAACGTCAAAATATAAGGTTAAAAATTTTTTTTTAGTGTAAACACGTAGGGTTAGAGGAAAGTAGTTTTGATGATTTTTTAGGTGGTTTTTTGGGTCAAACTAGTGGGGGGTTTCGCTAAATTTGGGTGTTCTATTCCCGGACGGAATGAAACGGACGTGTCGCGATTTTCGACTTTCGTTAGCTATTTTCGGCCCTTTCGGCTTTGCGGCGTGACGGGTCAACTGTCACGGTGAATTATAATTAATAGAGGACGATAGGAATCTATTGAAACAGGAAGAGAGCGCGGCGGGGAGACCGTTTCTCGCGCGTGACTCATCGCAACACACACGCACGTTCAGAAAAAAAGAGACGGAGATCCTCCTTTATTATACAATCTTCATGAAAAGTTTATGTGCGCATTTTCTTTAATTAAAAAAACATTTTTTTAATTAATTTATTCTTTCTGTTAATTTTGACATTTCATTTGACAGATTTTTATTATTTTTAAAGATAGGCAACCAAATACACATATAAGGACTTAATCGCTGCTTGTCTTGTAAATTTATAACACGTTATTTCGTTATTTCCTCTTCCAAGTAAGTTATACATGTCGCTCAATCTTCCGCTGTCACTTTACATAGTGCCTCATCGCATATTGAAAGTACCTTGTTCTCATTGACAACGATATGGAGGTAATCGAATTATTTTGTGGTCCCATTCATTAAACATACCACCATGAAAGTTCTGGAAATAATATGCACGATATTTAACAAATGCGGTAGAGGAGATGACATTCCACTGGATTGGAGAAAGTTCCAAATAATCCTCATATACAAGAAAGGAAATAGGAAGAAGTGCGAGAATTACAGAGTGTTAAGTATAACATCATTACTTGGAAGGTTATATGGAAGAATCCTGAAAACTAGGATAGAAAGAAAAATTAAGGAGGAAGAGGAGAAGGAGCTGTCAAAAAGCAAAGAAACCTAAGCAGTTCTCTAAATATTATTATTATTTTTGAGGTTAAGTTATAATAACATTGAAAATACTTCATTAAACTTTCAGATTAAACGTCAAAATGACGAGTTAAATGTCAAGTAGCTATCAACTTTGACATCTGCTGTATAAACTGTCAAATATCAACTTTTGGAAAGGATGTCCTACTCTCGAATGTTCATTCTTTTCCTCTCATTTCAACGTTTTTAACCAAAGCTTCAAAAATTGGTTTATATGATTGGGTGGAATGAAGCTTGAAAACGTTTTCTTCTATATTTGTGAGATTTATCAAAAGGTGGGTTTCTTCATCACTTTTTGTTTCAGTCGAACTGTTTAATAATGAAAAGTTATTGAAAAAAAAAAATTATTGCCACTATATTTCCTGAAATTACTCTTGAATATCCATAAAAACGACATTTTCGTTCAATTCATATAGGCCATAACGTGTTGTTTTACGATTACTTTGTAATAAAAACTCGTAAATAAGATTTTTTAAACGATTTATCAATTTCGTTACGTTTCAGCCAAGAAAATTATTTGACAACTGACAATTAGTTTTAACTTTTAACCAACTTCACACAGTTATAATTTGTATTTTTGGTTTCACTCCATAGGTGGCACTTAAATAGTATTTAAGGCGAAATGTCAAATTTAATTCGAATTGCATTTAAGTAATAATTTCAACACTAAAAATAATAATAAAAAAAGTACTTATTTAAAAGTTTTGAATTATGAATTATTTAAGTTTAATTATTAATATAAAATATAATTAATATTAAAATTAAAAATGTCAATTTTGACATTTCATTTCACAGATTTTTATTATTTTTAAGGATAGGCAACCAAATATACATATATTAATTATGATTATTATAATAAAAGGACTTTATCGCTGTTATTCTTTTGTAAATTTATAATAACAGGTTATTACACACCTTCGTTGTTGAGTTCAACCCTTCACCATTTCGTTATTTCCTCTTCCGAGTGAGTTATACATTTCGCTCAATCTTCCACTGTCACTTTACATAGTACCTTGTATTGAAGGTATCTTGTCCTCATTGAGAATGATGCCATATTTGACAATGATATGTAGGTAATCGAATTACTTTGTGGTCCTATTCATCAAACATGTCACCATAAAAGTTTGGAAATAATATGCACGATATTTAACAACTATCTTAGAGGAGATGACATTCCACTAGATTGGAGAAAGTTCCAAATAATCCTCATTTACAAGAAGGTTATATGGAAGAGTCCTGAAAACTAGGATAAAAATACAAAGTGGTTTCAAACCTGGAAGATTTATTCATGCTTAGACACCTAGTTGAGAAGAAGCTGTCAAAAGGAAGGGAAATACATATTGCATATCAGTACCTCAGAGATAAGGTATGTTAAGTCACAAACTCGAAATTGTTAATGAGAGAGATTTGAAAGTGGACTTAACCCATTAGCTGCTACGATCCTCATTTGGGGATTTTAGATTAAAGTTGGCAGTTACTGTTTAAACAAATACACATGGTGGAGATAACTCATTTCGTAAGAAATGTGATTTAACACACCTTACCTCAGAAGTGCTGATATATAGATCTGTGAAAACCGGAACCCCACATCCTAAAGCAGTTCTCTAAAAAAAATATTTTTGAGGTTAAGTTGTAATAACATTGAAAATACTTCATTAAGAGTAATCTCAATTACACTTTCATTCGTTCGATGTAAATAATCATGTAATAATCTTTTCGATTTAACACTTTTCCTTTTAATAAAAACATTTTATGGAAATTCGTTTTAATAACTTGTACCCGTTTAAGAGGTTAGTTTTGTTTTGGTCGGTATAGAAGCGTCGTCGGTTACCGACATGAGAAAAGACGTATTTTAAAAAAGCCATTTCACTCTAAACAAGTTAACTTATGAGCATAATATCTGTACCGTATGAAGAAAATAATAACGGAATCAATCATTCGCGTTTTTTGTGTTGGTATGGCCTATATATTTTAAATTTGTAACTAAAATGACTTTGTTCTTGATTGGTTGAAAGAAATAATTTTATTTTTGACAACTTATAGGTTATGTTTCCAAAATTAGGATACTTATTTAACATTACCTCGTTAATGATGAGAATCCAATGAAAATGGTAAAATATCAAATTAAATAACGATTCTTTATGTATATCTTACGTATTTATTTATATTAATATTTATATAAAAGTTGGATGTCGAAAACCTAACCTATAACTTCAAAGTGTCATTCAACCGAACATAACCTCACTTTAACATTTTTTTCTGTCAAACATTTTTCTTTAAGATTTTTATAATAAAATTTTTTGTTATAGGGTGGTTATCCAGCAAGATTGAAGAAAGTATTAATAGTAACAGCACCGTTATGGTTTAAAGCGCCGTTTAAAATATTGCGCCTATTCGTTCGCGAGAAACTTCGCGAAAGAGTTTTTACCGTATCCTTAGCCCAGCTGACGGCGCATATCAAAAGGGAATCGCTTCCGACCCAATTAGGCGGACTGCTTCAGGTCGACCATAATGTTTGGTTGTCACATTGTCTTCAGTCAATGACAACTTGCCCGGAATCACCTTTGCCACTTTACGGTAATTGGAATAAAAAAAAAAAATGTTATAGTAAAGTTGAATTTAACATTGTAGATGGCAAAACCCCATCGCCGCAAAAGAAATTGGCAACAAATTCCGACTTAGAAATTTCTTCATCGACTAATAACGTGGATAGTTGGGCTGAGGAGGCAAATTTGAATCCGCCTAGTAGTGCTAGTAGTGGGTTTTCCGACGATGACTCTCTTCATGGTGAAGGAGCCGCCCTCACAATGCAACAATTGGTTGAATACGTCCGGGATAGAGGCCGACCGGGTTTGATGCAAGAATATGCTGAAATCCGGTCGCGTCCGCCCGATGGAAACTTTACTGTAGCTAAAATTAGAAGTAATTTACCCAAAAATAGGTAAAAATAAATTTAAAATTAAATTTAAATGTAACTTAATTTTTTTATTTGCATTTTAGGTATACGGATGTGCTGTGTTACGATCATAGTAGGGTTATTTTATCAGAAATAGATGGTGAAACGGACAGTGATTACATTCACGCCAATTTCGTGGATGGATATAAACAGAAAAATGCTTTTATTAATACCCAAGGTACATAAAAACTTCATTTATTTTATTAATTAAATTATATTTATTAACTTTTAGGACCATTATTAAAAACGACAACGGATTTTTGGAGAATGGTTTGGGAACAAAATACTTTAGTGATTGTAATGACGACGAGAGTTATGGAACGAGGAAGACCGAAATGTCATCAATATTGGCCTTCTGATATCGATGGTGAAACAACGTATGGGGAGTTTAAAGTACGCTCGGTGGCTGTTGATTCAAATAGTGATTACACGGTGACTTCATTGGTTCTTATCAACTTAAAAGTAAGCTGATTAATAAGTATAATAATAATTTATTGTTTCCCAGAAGGTTACAATTTATACTAAGTACAATACTTATAACTGGACCGCGTTATACATCACTTTCACTTAATCATCACTTAAATATTTTCATCTTTGAAAAAATTTAGAATACTGAAAGACCTAAAATACTATTTGTTTTAAAGGATAAAACTAAGCGCCAATCACATTATACGCTAGCATTGGATATTTCTAGGTCTAGTGTTAGTTCTAGTTTTACAATAACACTATCACTACTTGTTGTATATTATGATTGAACTAAAAATTTCAGTTGTCAATGTCAACTTTAATTTTATTATTATATTCGTAATCTTCATAAAATAACCTTTAAAATGAGTCCAAACATGACGCATTTCTCTCAAAAAACCAAAAAGTTCGAACTTTCAACTGTTAATTTTGACATATTTGTCAACTTCATAAAAAATCCTTTAAAATGAGTCCAAACTCGACATATTTAACTTTAATATTAATGGAAATACAATCACTTCCGGTTTGAAACGTCAACGTCAATTTTGACATATTTGTCATCTTCATTAAAAAACCTTTAAAATGAGTCCAAACATGACGCATTTATCTCAAAAAACCAAAAAGTTCGAACTTTCAACTTTTAATTTTGACATATTTGTCAACTTCATAAAAAATCCTTTAAAATGAGTCCAAACTCGACATATTTAACTTTAATATTAATGGAAATACAATCACTTCCGGTTTGAAACGTCAACGTCAATTTTGACATATTTGTCATCTTCATTAAAAAACCTTTAAAATGAGTCCAAACATGACGCATTTATCTCAAAAAACCAAAAAGTTCGAACTTTCAACTTTTAATTTTGACATATTTGTCAACTTCATAAAAAATCCTTTAAAATGAGTCCAAACTCGACATATTTAACTTTAATATTAATGGAAATACAATCACTTCCGGTTTGAAACGTCAACGTCAATTTTGACATATTTGTCATCTTCATTAAAAAACCTTTAAAATGAGTCCAAACATGACGCACTTATCTCAAAAAACAAAAAAGTTAGAATAAAAAACATTAAACCCGAAGTTAGCAACAATGAAGATAGCAATTTAATTTTTAAATATTAATACCAACCTTAATTTTTGATTTTTTTTTATTATATTTTTGTTTTTGTGACAAATATTAAGACATTTTATAAAAATTAAGAATATGTCAAAATGACATTGACATTTCAAACCGGAAGTTGCTTATATCTCGAGTAATATTGGAATTAAACGTATCATGTTTGGACTCATTTTAAAGGATTTTTCACGACGATTACAAATATGTCAAAATTGACGTTGACATTCTTAACCGGAAGTTGACCATAACTTCATTAATATTGAAGATAAATATGTCGTGTTTGTACTCATTTTAAAGGATTTTTAATAAATGTTACAAATATGTCAAAATTGAGGTTGATATTTTAACCGGAAGTTGACCATAAACTTCATTAATATTAGAGATAAATATGTCGTGTTTGTACTCATTTTAAAGGATTTTTAATGAAGATTACAAATATGTTAAAATTGAGGTTGATATTTTAATCCTGAAATTAGTTATCATTAGAGCTCGAATTCTTCGGTACCTAAGTCCAGTCGACCAGTTCACGAATGTTGCGTTATTAACGAGCGACGCATACCCAAGGTCCCGAGTTCACTGGTCCGCTGCTTTGTCATGGTAATCCATAGGCGCGCGTTAGCAAGGGTCTGTATTAACGCTAAATCAGCAAGTAATTATGTACTTTATCATAATTTTTCTCAACTCTCAGTTCCTATTTGGTGAAATGATTGAATAATAACGACTTTTTCTAAATTTACTTCAGAAAATGACCATCATTTGGGTGTTAAAATGTCTTTGAATCTAGAAAATGTTTTTTCGACATCACAACTAGCGATGTAACTAGCGCAAATATAAATACTGGAACTAACGGGCCATATTTAGAAGATATTTCTTGGTTGCAAAATGCTACATTGTCGTCAATTAATATGAAAGTATCGCCAAAAGTTGCTATTAAGTGTGGCATTGGAATAAATTATAAAAACTAAAACAATAGGGTTAATAAAAATCAAAAAATTAACTCTTAATAGAAGTAGTTTTAAAAATTAGAAAGTTAGAAGTTTAGAAGTAGATTAAAAATTCATCAATGTTCTGTGATAGAAGTAGATAGGCACCAAACAATTTTCAATAGTTTGAGCCTATCTATTCTGAGAAGTCATAATATTGTTCACTTGTCGCTTACTTAAGTGATGCATACTTGTCCAACTTATACAATGTTTATCTTAGTGTAAAGCCCTCCTCATTCCTCACCATCATCAGGTACTTTGGTAGCCTTTTCGCTACAATTTCGGCATATTTTGGGTTGTACCTACTTTCCCTTATCGCCGTTTTTCTCTCTTGCATTCACACATTTCTGCCCTGCTCTCCAGTTGTTTCCACATCTCAATCCCCTCTTTTCTTTTCCTGTTCCTCTCCTCAAAACGCATCATTCGTTTACCCGCCTCCACCCTCTATCTTCATTTTTCTTCCCTCACTATATCCATCCCCATACATCATTAATGGTTGGTTAATAACCACTAATTATTAAATAAAATAAGTTTTCTAAATAAATAAATAAATGAATTATTTTTAGACGGAAGAAACTCGGGATATATCGCATTGGCAGTTCACTTCATGGCCGGATTATGGTGTTCCTCATTCTGCAAAAGCCATGTTGGAGTTTTTGGAGAAAGTTCGAAGACAACAGACGGTTATGGTGACTGCGTTGGGTGATACATGGGCTGGACATCCAAGAGGGCCCCCAATTATTGTACATTGTAGTGCCGGAATAGGACGAACAGGTAAAAATTATAATAATTAATTATTCTAATCATATTTTATTGTTGTTTTTGCTGTTTTAGGTACATTTTGTACATTAGACATTTGCATATCTCGCCTGGAGGATGTTGGAACTGTGGATATTCGGGGAACTGTTGAAAAAATCCGCTCGCAACGAGCTTATTCAATTCAAATGCCTGATCAATATGTTTTTTGTCACTTGGCGTTAATTGAGTACGCGATATCAAAGGGTCATTTGCAGTCCGCCGATTTAACGGGGTTTGATCAAGGGATGGACGATGATTCAGATTAATAAAAGAATTTTTCAAAAAATAATAAATCATTGGCTGTTCAATAATCGATTAATTTTCTTTTATTATTATTATTATCTATATTGATTAATTTATTTTAATTCTTTAAAAACATATATGGGGTGTTTATTGAAGTAATTCTTTTTTATTATTTTTTTTTTTGTACTCGAATGATTCTTTTTGATTTGAATTAATAATAAACACTCTGTATAATATAATTTGATTTATTTTATAACTAAGTAATCCATCCAAAAAAAATTTTTTGAAAAATTTAATAAATCTCTTCTTCCAAGTTATTTTAAATCATCGTCGAACATATCGACACCTCTCTTCTTATGAATATCACCCGTAAATGTACGATAATAACCCGCTTTTAAGATTAAATTTAATATAAACTAAAAGAATAAATAAATAAAAGTAAACTACGCGTCATTGTGATGTTGGTATATTTAAGTCGATTAAATTTAATGAAAAAAATCGATTCAGATGTGTATTATAGGGAATTTATCTTATTTTTTATTACATTATTTAAGTTTTTTTAATTTAATTCTTCCGATTATCCCAAAAAATTCAAGTCTTGTAAATACCTAGTGACATAACCTCAATTTTTTTTATATTAAATCTTTCATCCCTATTAATTATTATATTTTTTTTTCTTATATATCAAATCTTTGTAAAATCCAAAATTTTGTTATAAATGACTCAACAATAATAATATATTTTATATTGTCTGAAATCTATACAACATAATTTATTTAACAATTCATCACTTTCCCCCTAAATCACTAACTTTAAATAAATCATCGGCTAATTCAACCATTTCCTTCACAAATTCACAATGTTTCTTCATATTCTCACTCACAAAACGTTCCCCATAATGAGCCCCAGCTATGCTTCCTGTCATAGCAGCTATTGTATCTGTATCACCACCTAATGATATGGCATATTGGATTGATCTTCTAAAAGGATTATCAGCCTAAAATAATAATTATTAAACGTTTTTTAAACAATTCTTTAATAATATAAATTACCTTTAAATCGGGAATATCATTTTGTGCCCTTAAATAGCAATAAATAGCTGTAGGGACCGAATGGAGAGCGGAAATACTATTCCCAAGACACGCCACAACTTCATCATCACTAACCGGTTCGTTAGGTTTTTCAATTTCAAATAATTTTTGAATACGTTTTAATTGCGATTGATACGGTGATGGATCATCAATGTCTTTTCTACAAATAAAAAATTATAACCTCAAAATTATTTTAAAAATGTCAATTCAAATTTTTATTTTCAAGTGTTACCAACTGCCACATACCTATTTCCCTACATAGTCAAAATTTATTTTATTTTTAAAAAATAACATAAAAAACACGTTTCATAAGATTTAAAGCACTCATTCATTAAAAAACTCGTTTTTAAATTTGAATTGGTAAATTTCAAATGTGTCTTACAAAACTATTTTTTTAATCTATTATTTACATTTCACCTCCTTCAAATTTCTTCATTTTCCCAATTAATTTCTCAATGAATACTTTATAATCAGCTTTTTCTTCTGGATGTAACATTAAACCTTGATGGATAGCAATCGCTTGTAAAATTGAGCCATTAACCCCTAAAGTATGGGTATGAGTAATTTCCGTCGATTTTACAACAGCTTCAATTAAAGCATCATAGTTATTAGCGAAAAATAACGGAATTGGGGATATTCTCATCGCCCCTCCATTTCCATATGAACCAGTTCCTTCAAATTGTTCTTTAGCAGGTTTATAAATGTCTTCGTATTTGTACGAACGCAGTTTATTAAAAACTTGGGTAACGCCGGGTCCATATCCTCTCCGTGGTTCTTTAAAGTATTCTTTTACAAATAGCTTCGCTAAGTATTTATAATCAAAAGGGGGTTTATCTATTAAACACTTTGCGATTGATTTCGTCATTGCGGTATCATCCGTGTACATTTTAATTGGTGCTAAAGATAAATATTATTAAAACAAATCGTTGTATTTAGTGAAACAGATACATTTAGTGTATTCCCCATCGATTTTATCGAAATACTTTTGGACTATAGCCCTACTTCCTGGATCACCTTCAAAAGGGGCTCCTAAACAATCACCCATTAACGTCCCAAGCATACAACCACGAAACTTTGCTTTCATAAGAACACTATCTAATAAAACCGCCATTCTTAATCTTTTTTATTTATTAAAAATTATTTAAAAATAGAACTGATACTAAATTAAGGTTATGTTTAAAAAGAGAAATGAGGTTATGTTGTTTTTAGTAATTTTTGTGTTTCCCCAATATTCGAAATAATTTATTAAAATAATCTTTTTTATTGATTGTATTATTTAATAATGTGATTATTAATCAATAATACTAATTAATTAAATATTTATTATAATTACAAATTAATTTTATCTTTGTTTAGTAAACAAGTTTTAGACAACCAAATATACAACAACACATAACCTAGAAAAAACAAAATTTTATTTAAATTTAACAAATTATTATAGGAGTATTTAATAATTGAAACTAGTTTGTATCTCATTCACTTATATATTTTAAAACTCTAGTAACACTCACATTTCTACAAGTACATCTTAATCTAAATTTTTATATCTCTATCTAGATTAGGCAACCCAATCTACAACAAAAAGTAAAGTTTAAAAAGTAGCAACATAGCTAGAATCTGCTAGAATTATTCAGGTTTTGCCACAGAACGGATATATAGAAGATCTTTGGGGAAAAAAAAGAAAGTTGGCAGGTAATGGGTTAAAATTACTTAGTACTCCACCATTCACAGGAATTAGTATCACTTTTAGGTGTTGGACATTGCAGATAATAATCAAGTTCAACCCCAATAGCACTTTTTTCATTGAATACAACTTTATTTATCATTAGCAACCTCATTGTAACAATCCCAATACGATATACAAAATCTCTTGTTGCAGTTTCCTCTAGTTTTCTTCTCTTTGCTTGTAATTCATTATTAACAGAACTATCGCTGTTACTATCACTTTCGATTATTAATCAAAGTATCCTTTTTTTAATGCAACAAGCCGTTTTGAAAAATCGCTTTTAGTTTTTGAGAAAAAAATTTTTGAATTATTATTGAAACAAGTAGTTTTAGGCAACCAAATATACAACAACACATACTCAAAAAAAAACCGTAAACATTAAGACGTTGAGTTATAGATTCTATTGTAAATAAAGTGATTAGTTTAAATAAATTATTAACGACTTTTAGTGTTATTTATTAATACAATTTCACGATACAATACAAATCTTTAGATCTAGTAATTGTTAAAATAAAATTAAGTTGGTATCACATTGACGTAAATTCTAACCTTCAACATCACCGCAAGACCTGGAAAAAAGCACAACACCAAAGTGCTAAAATTTCGTAGTGTACCGATTTGAATTCGATTGAAATGTCCCTGATAAATGTACGAACTTTATTAAAATGCAGCCAAATCTTCACAGACAACATCTATAAAAGCGTGCGGTAAGATTGAAAGGAAAAAATTGAAAAAGACAATTTTCATAATTTCGCAATTTTAACCTACAATTTCAGATGCTCCACGAAATTACGTTTAATGAATACAAATGCGGCTACTAGCGAAACGAAAAGCGATGATCCCCCTTCGTCTTCATCCGACGGGAAAAGTACAAACGACGAACTTGAAAAATTAAATAAAGAAATACAAGATTTAACCTCAAAAAATACCGATTTAATTGTACGAAAATCTTTTTGATATCTTTAATAAGAAAATTTATTAATAAACTTTGATTTTTTTCGATAGGATAAATATAAACGGGCTTTGGCGGATGGTGAAAACATGAGAGGTCGACTTACAAAGCAAATATCGGAAGCTAAAGTCTTTGGAATTCAAAGTTTTTGTAAAGATTTATTGGATGTAGCCGATGTTTTGGGTAAAGCCACTCAGAGCATCCCTAAGGAAGAAATTGGGGATACTAATCCGCATCTAAAAAATTTATACGAAGGCTTGATGATGACCGAAGCTCAGTTACAAGCTGTTTTTAAAAGACATGGTTTAGAGAAAGTTGATCCGTTGAATGAAAAGTTCAATCCTAATTATCATGAAGCTTTGTTTCAACAGGTACATTTAAACTTAACTGCTTCATTAGAACTTTTTTAGGTTTTATTATTTGTACAGTTTTGAAGTTTTGGTAAAATGGGTTGTTCATTTAGAACTTTTGATCTAACATATTTTCAAAATGCTATAGTTTTTATTATGTTTGGTTTTTTTTTTATGTTGATTTTCATCAAAGTTATTGGTATATTTTTTTTGGCAAATTTCACCATGCTTTTTAAAACCCCATATCTCAGCCAACTTTCATTCAAAAAAACTCTAAATTGGCACATTTACTCTTCAGATGCTGTTAAATAGATTGTCATTTGTTGTATCAGAGTATCTTATACAGGATGGTCAAAAATTGAATTACTGTTTCTCCATGTTCAATGGCGAGAAAGTCGAAAATTTTAAATGGAACGCCCCATATTTTATTAGCCTATCCAAAAGGGAATTTAATTCTCTACAATTTATCTATAAACATTCCTATATCTATTTATTGTAGTTTTTCTCATATTGGGAAATTAAAAAAAAAGGCTATGACATTTTGACGATTATACAGGGTGTACAGAAACACCTTTGCACCATCCTGCTGAAACCAAATATTGTCGTCCAGTAAGTTGGGGTTATTATTATTTGGGAATGCTTCTAAAAGGACAGGCATCAGTTTATTCCTCAAAAACTCCAGATATCGTTGACCTGTCAGAATTTGTTTAAAGAAGAAAGGGCCAATGATTTTATTGTGAATTATCCCTGCCCATACATTGACTTTTTGAGGGTATTGGGTCAATTTCATAAATTTCCATGCGGCGATCTGTGTCATCTTCATTGAGTTCTTGCAGTAACTGCACTTTGTAGGGATGGTACCTCTCTGCTTGTAGCACACGTAGTACAGATCGCTGAAAAACTTGATGATCCGCTGCAATTTGTCTCGAATTACTATGGGGATCATCTTCAACAGCTAACAACATATCAAATTTCACGTTTTCGTCGATCCAGCATGTGCAATGTACTTAACATGTCCAGTTTCTCTAAATTTCTTCTCAATTTTGCTAACTATTGATCTACTAATAACTCTGTTAGAGAACTTTGCATTAAACAAATTGCATACCTCTTGTTGTGTTCGGGTTTTATCTCCACATCCAATAAGAATTAAAATCTCTATGCGTTTAAAATAAATACGTAGCAACAAATCCTCAAAAATAAAAACAAAACAGGAACAATTATTATTGAACAAAACTGGACTAATGAACACAGAACACGGCAAAAAATAACAAAAAGCAATCTCAATCAGAATATAACGCAAAATAACTAATACAAAACTAAACAACATAGAACAGAAAAAAAATACAAACAATTACAACGCAGAAAACAATGCAAAAATACAGGAAATAATCGCTATACACAAAACCCCCACAAAACTAATAAAGATATTTTCTCAAAATTTTCCTTATTCCTAAAAAATATCCTTTCAGATTCTTTAAACAAATGCATCATAACTAATAAAAAAATGACTATCAGGAAGTGACTATGTTAAAAAAATTAGTTATCAATTTATTGAATATCACTAACTTCAGGTTTGAAATGTCAACCTCAATTTGACATATATGTAATCTTCATTAAAAATCCTTTAAAACGAGTACAAACACGACATATCTATCTCCAATATTAATGGAGTTATGGTCAACTTCCGGTTAAGATTGTCAACGTCAATTTTGACATATTTGTATTCGTTGTGAAAAATCCTTTAAAATGAGTCCAAACATGATACGCTAAATTCCAATATTACTCGAGGTATAAGCAACTTCTGGTTTGAAATGTCAATGTCATTTTGATATATTCTTAATTTTAATAGAATGTCTTAATATTATAAGAATACATCATGAAAGAACACCATGAAGTTGTCCATTTGTCTATTATATGATAACTAACTTCAGGTTTCAAATGTCAACCTCAATTTTGACATATTTGTAATCTTCATTAAAAATCCTTTAAAATGAGTACAAACACGACATATTTATCTTCAATATTAATGAAGTTATGGTCAACTTCCGGTTAAGAATGTCAACGTCAATTTTGACATATTTGTAATCGTCGTGAAAAATCCTTTAAAATGAGTCCAAACATGATACGTTTAATTCCAATATTACTCGAGATATAAGCAACTTCCGGTTTGAAATGTCAATGTCATTTTGACATATTCTTAATTTTTATAAAATGTCTTAATATTTGTCACAAAAACAAAAATATAAAAAAAAAAAATAAAAAATTAAGGTTGGTATTAATATTTAAAAATTAAATTGCTATCTTCATTGTTGCTAACTTCGGGTTTAATGTTTTTTATTCTAACTTTTTTGTTTTTTGAGATAAGTGCGTCATCTTTGGACTCATTTTAAAGGTTTTTTAATGAAGATGACAAATATGTCAAAATTGACGTTGACGTTTCAAACCGGAAGTGATTGTATCTCTATTAATATTAAAGTTAAATATGTCGAGTTTGGACTCATTTTAAAGGATTTTTTATGAAGTTGACAAATATGTCAAAATTAACAGTCGAAAATTTAAACTATACAAACAAAAAACTTCTTACTTGCTTAATATCAAGTTATTCGGAATCGATTTCGAGCTTAGCTCACATCAGCCGAATTGTCAAAATAGTTAAAAAGAAACCCACAACGTCATTAAAACAAAAATTACGCCTTTCGTTTTCTTTTAAAGTGTTTTAAATATTTAGTATGTATCTTTTGTTTTAATGACGTCGAAGCTAAGCTCGAAATCGGTTCCGAATAAATTGATATTAAGCAAGTAAGAAGTTTTTTTTATATACAGGGTGTCAGATAAAAAAAACCATGCTGTAACTCTGTCATTTACATTAAAATTTTCATGAGCGAGGTATCAAATGAAGTGGTTTGATGAATACTATGACTCATGCTGCAAATAATTTTTTTTAACGCCATCTTCAATTTCAAGCAATTATCAACTTTTGATTTTCAAGTGCTCGGTATGTTTTTCATCACGTTATTGGATAGAGATTTTTTTTTCTGAACCCATTGCTATACAATACATTAACATTAATTGTAGTTTTAGCAGAAGTAATTCTAGTTCTAGGTCTTGTTTTAGTTCTATTGCAAAACTAGAACTAACACTAGACATAGAACTAGAAACATTCAGGTTTAGTCGTTTTAAAATTTTCGATTTTCTCGCCATGGAATATTGAGAAACAGTAATTCAATTTTTGACCATCCTGTATAAGATACTCCGATACAACAAATGACAATCTATTTGACAGCATGTGAAGAGTAATCGTGCTGATGTAGATCTTTTTTGAATGAACGTTGGCTGAGATATGGGGTTTTAAAGAGCATGTTGAAATTTACCAAAAAAAGCTTAAAACCGAAATAACTCGAAAACGAAAAACGCTAGGTACCAATAACTTTTATCAAAGTCAATCTATTTTTTTACGTACAATTAAATGGTGAAATAAAAATTATAGCATTCCATTCAAAATAACGAAGTTATGGTCTACTTCCGGTAAACCGGAAGCGGCGGCCATCTTGAAAATATTTTAGATCGAAAGTTAACAAATTTCAAATCTCTATTAATAGTGGAACCTGAAAAAGGTCTAATGAACCAGTTACATAAGACACCCTGTATAAAATTAAAATTGAATTTAATTCTTTTTTAGGAAGTTGCTGGAAAAGCTGCAGGAACGGTTGTTGTTGTATCAAAAATTGGTTACAAGTTACACGATAGAGTAATAAGACCAGCTTTGGTTGGTGTAGCGAAATGATTCTACATAGCATTTAGTATAATTATTCTAATTTCATTTTTTATTACAACTCAAGAGAGATGCGGTTAAAATACGGTTACACAATATTTAGAAACCAAAATATAACTTAAATTTTTTGTAGACATTTTTATTTCTTTTAATTTATTTGTAAAGCTGCTATACAATTTTCTAAACTTTTCATTCGTTTTTCTTTATATTTTTGTTTAATTTCAGTTAAAGCCCATTCTGATAGCGAATTAGCCTCCTTTTTTTTCCCAGCTGTTGATTTTTGCGAATTAGCAATGTTACAACATGCCAAATATAACCCGTATAAAGCCCGCATGTTATTTGGATTAAGTTTTAAAGCTTGGCAATAATAAGCTCGCGCTAATTCGATGTTTTCTTGGCCACCCTGAGTGTATTTTATATCTGCATATCGTTGATGAAGCAAATGATTATGAGGGTTATGCAAAATTAATTCTTCAACGCAAAAAGCAGCTTTGGGGAAATCTTGTTCTGATAAATAAAGCTCACTTAGTTCTTGCCAAGCTTCTGTATCAGTCATGAAACTAAAAAGACAAATTTGTGACTCAAAAAATTAAGAATTAATTAAAAATTTACATTCTTAAATATTCAGTTAATTCTTTAATGGCTTCAACATTTTTTCCTTGGGCTTTATAAATAGCAACGATGCGTTTACGAGCTCCACTATTCGTTTTATCAGCTTTAATGATATCTTCTAAAACTTCAATAGCCTCCCCATACTTCTCCTGAGCTTCGTAAATCATTGCTTTATATTTTTGGACCCTTAAGCTGTAAGGAAATTCCTTATTTAAAAGCCGAACGCAAGTGTCAGCAACATCTAATCGAAAACAATCCAAAGCTCCAATACAAGTTTGTTCAATAATTTGTTGCTCTAAAAGATGTTTCATTTCAATATTAATTAATGAATATGAGATCAAAATTACTTTCTTTTCCAAGCTTATTCAAGTTATATTCAAGCACAGCTTTCCAAATGTACACAACATCTTCGCTTTTACGTTCGTTATTATCTCGCCAGGTTTTAAATAAGTCTTTGGCTTCTATAAAAGGATTTGATTTGAAAAGGAATCGATTTTAATACAAATAATTTACCTTGCCAAGCGATATCATTTAAATGGGACATTTTTCACACCTTAAATTGATTTGTCACTTATTGACTTAATAATTTGAGGTTATGTCACATAGGTACCAACTTAAAATAATTGGTTACTTTAATCGGAAAAAATTATGTTTTAAAGTATAATTTTGATTAAAAACTTAATAATTTAAACTTAATAATCGTTGTTTTTTATTACTTAATTAATTTAAGTAATTTATTGAATAATAATTTTATTTTACTGTCAAAATTAAAAAAATAAAAATCCCCCAGATCAGTTTTGTCTGTGTCCATCTCGATTCCTCGCCACAAAAACAATTTTATCAAGAATATTTTACCCAAAAGAAGCTCAAAGTTTTATTTTATTTTAACAGTATCCGTTTTAAGCATGATTTTGAGGGAATCGAGTTTGGATTCGCGCCCGTTTTTAACCTTAAAGTGATTGGCCCCTTTTTAGCTTTGTCTCCATTTAACCCCCAAATAAACCGTGTTTTCCATCTTTAAACGCCCATTTTCCTCACAAACGTCCAATTTATTCATCCGATTACACAATTTTCTATTTTCCCCACTTAGGGTCGCTTAAATGCATTGATTTTGTGGAGCTGTAATCAATAGAGTTCGGTTTGGGAAGGGAAATTTTTTTCGCAACGTAATTTCATGGAAATTTAGTGAATATGGAGCAACAAAACGTTGTTTGCCCGGTTTGTACGTTGTTTTTACGACCCGGGATTAATTTAAAACAACATTTAAGCACCCATCCTAAACAAAAAGTTATCGAGGCTTTGATTAATTTGGCTGGGATTGAAAATAATCATGAAAATAAAGCATCCGCAAGTTCTGAAACATCTAATACGACCGTTCCTAGTGGAAGTAACACTCAAAATGGGTGGTTTCCGTCATCTTCACCCTCAAACGCTGTTTATACGAATTTTGGAAACCTTTCAGGTAAACAACATAACCTAAAAATTTTAATTGTCAAAAAAAATTTTTATTTTTAATTTTTTTATTTAAATTTAAACTTAATATAAGATATTTTGGAAAAATTTACACAAAAAATACGTTACAAATAAAAAGAAAGTGCGGAAAAGTGTAGAATATAACGAAAAATGACATTAAAGATACGATCACAAAACGTGATGTCACAAGCAATGTTAATTATAATGTATATTTATGGATGAAACACCCCTGTTTTTCTTAGGCTTTCGATGCATAACGTCCGACTACCTGTCGTTAGATGGATTGTGTATTAATATACAGTGTGTTAATTAATTATTGTATCATCATTGCATGTATGCAACCAATATCACACTAAATATATCTGAATACGCAAATCACGTATTGGAATACCAGTACTGTGATGTTGGTTGCATACATGTAATGATGACGTTGGGTACGATAATTAATTAACACATTGCACTGTGTGTCTATAGATTTAGCTTCACGTCTCTCAAAACGGCTAAACCCGAATGATTCTAGATCTTGTGTTAGTTCTAGTGATAGTGCTAATGTAAAACTAGGTCTAGTGTTAGTTCTAGTTTTAGGGCAATAAAAATATGCTACATAGTGATATCTTATGCTATCTAACGCTACCTACCATTGTCACTGGAACTAACATTAGATCTAGAATTAGAAACATTCGGGTTTTGGCACACGTCTCTCAAGACGACTAAACCCAGATGATTCTAGTTCTAGGTCTTACGTTAGTTTTATTACAAAACTAGAACTAACACTAGACCGAAAACTAGAAACATTCGGATTTAGCCCCACGTCCCTCAAGACGGCTAAAGCCGAATGATTCTAGTTCTCGGTCTTGTGTTAGTTCTATTCTAAAACTAGAACCAGGGTTCGACTGATTTAAATCATAATTTTAATCAATGATTTTAATCAAATGATTTATTTATTTTAATCAATGATTTAAATCAAAAACAAAACTGAAAATTAAAGTGCACTTTACTACAAAATTAAAAAAACTTTTAATACTAAAATTAAGATTCATTGTAATACTTATATAAGAAAACAAGTTTTCCTGCCTTTTCAACACCTAACTTGTTTCGTAAAGTAGAATCAACAAGCCCAAATGTTGAAAATATTCTCTCAACAGAAGCAGATGAACAAACCGCACATAAAAATTGCTTTAATATTGGCAGTACCTTCTCTACTTTAGCAATGTGTGTTTGTGATACCCACCATTGTAAAGCACTTACATTACATAAGAGTTCCTCCGAAAACATTACTGATGAAAATGGTTCCATTTTTGCTTCTAGTTTTATAATTAGCGGTAGTAAACCGGTATTAGCATATATTTCCTTAATTGTATTTAAGGCCTCCTCTCTTTCTACAGATGTTAACTTATACATAGTTTTAGTAACATCTAAAATATAGGCTATATAATGGTTAGACGTAAGTGCCTGCTTATACCGTTTATCAAAAACTTTCATTTGTACAAATGATACTTTTTCCTCGAGTAATATTTTCAATTCTTTCCATACTTCCACATCAGAGAGGAAAGCATTCTTTTTTTGTAATTTGTCAACTGCTATAGTTATGGCTTTTAAGACATTCAAATAATCTTCCGCTGAGCGTTTGAGACCAATGTTTGAAACTTTTTTGTATATTGTCGAATCTATTTCGTTTTTATTCTCATCACACACTTTTAATAGGTCATCCCATTGACTTACATATACTTCCAAACAATCTGGCATAGTATTCCATCTCACATTACTTGGCAGCACTTATGCTTTTCCATCAAGCTGTCTGTATTTGGCCCTCGCTAATTGATTATTTCTAAAATATTTTATAATTTGTGTAACGTGCTCTTTGATATTTGTTACTTCTAAATCTTTGCAAAGTAGGTTTAAAAGATGAGCTGAACACCCATAAGTTATCACTGAAATGCTGGGGTCCAATTTTTCTTGTAAGGTTTTTCGCATTAGTGCCATATTAGCAGCATTATCTGTTACAAATGATGTCACGTTACAGATATATTTCGATTTACATGAGGAAATTATATTGCAAGCAATTTCAGTTAAATAGTCACTTGTATGGGGATTTCCGGATGTATCTATAGTTTCATATAAAAAGAGTGTCCAGTTTCAGAGGTTATACTAGCGCACACTATAGGTTAATTTCGTACATTAGACCAACCATCAATAGATATGTTTACGCAACACCTAGTAAGACTTCCACAACATTTAGTTTTCTCTTCTTCGTAAATTTGTTCCAAAAGTGTTGTAGAAATTATTTTTCCGGAAGGGGGATTATACCCGGGTATTAACAATTCAATTGCTTTTTTTACTTGTTGATTGTCCATACATCTAAAGCTGCTGTTTGTTGTCAATACAGCTCTTGCAATTTGTTTATCTATTTCTTGTTTTTTATCAATATCCGTTCGAACAATAAAGCTTTCCAAATTTGTATTAGCATTCGTTTTCCGTTTTTTACCTACAACAGCCGAATCATATTCAGCAAATAAAGTCGAAGATGTAGATGAGCAAGCGCTTGCAGGTCGTTTTTGAGAGGTGTTAATGAAAACTCTTCTTTACTAGCAATGGTTGATTTTGATAACATTTCAATTCCTGTAGAACAAGATTGAAATAATTGAAAATAGTACTATTTTATTCATTTACGTCGTTTTAAGTTGCATTAAATACTATTTACCTTCAACTAAATTACTTTCTATGTTACTTGGTCCAGGGTCTCCTCTATCAGAGATTTTGAGTTTGCATTTCTCATGGTGTTCTTTCATCCTTTGAACTAGTCCTTGTATATTTTTTCCGCAATTCTTACAAATTGCTCTGCTAAACTAACACATAGAAACGTGTTATTAAACGAAAGAAGTAGCAGTAAAACACTGGAAACTAAAAAAATCATGATTTTTTTATCATATCATGATTTAAATCCTTGATTTTGATTTTTTTTTAAATCATGATTTATTCGAACCCTGACTAGAACTAACACTAGACCGAAAACTAGAAACATTCGGATTTAATCCCACGTCTCTCAAGACGGCTAAAGCCGAATGATTCTAGTTCTCGGTCTTGTGTTAGTTCTAGAGATAGTATCTAGAAACATACAGATTTAGCCATTTTAAGAGACGCACTTTTAGGCATTTTTTTTATTTGTAACGGCTTACTTGAGTGATTTCCCGTCGATTAAATAAAAATTGTCGATTTTTAACCCTTAGCTACACGCGCTGCGGTACAGAGTGCAGCATTTTTTTAAATTATGTCATAAAACCGTTATTTCTTGGAAACATCCCTGAACTGTTAAGGTATTCTTTAAATGGTGGCATAAAAAAGAAATATGCCTGTACAATTGAGATTTGGACGTTTATCTGCAAAGATATCGTCTCGCGCGCGTGTGAAAGAAGTTGTAAAGTTTTTAATTGTAGTGAAGTGTGTGTTACACATAAAATGTAAGTACATATTATTATTATCAAAATTGCCTTCTTCTCAAATCAGCTTGATTCATCTCTTTTTTATTCCTTTTTCTTAGGGCATATACAGGGTGGTTCAAATTCGAGGCTAACTCGAAAACTATAAGAGTTAGAAGAAAAGTAGCTGACATGTCATGATCTCGTTTTTCGAGAAACTGCTAATGCCGAAAACCTCATAGCGCTATCGTCTTTTGTTTTTCCGCTAGAGGCCAAAATTGAAAATATCGTATAACACGCAAATGTAATTATCTTGGTTATTATCATAGCTGGAGTATTATAACTACGACATTATATGGACACTTTTTTACAGAGAATTTGATGACGTAGTCAAAAAAATTTTGTTGGTTTTAGATTTTGAGATATTATCACAATTTTCGTTTTTTTAAATGGCTTAATTCGCTTAATAAATTCGTTATTTTTTTCTGATTATAAAAATATAGGGTTGGACAGGTCTATTTCTTATTGTTTTAGAATAAAACTAAAAATAAACTTTTCTTTTAGTGTCGTCGAAGAGATTAAATTTACAGTTTCCTGTAAATTACGGTTCTATAACTAAAAATTAAAAAAACATATATCTCATATTTGAAATAAATATATTTGTTGAACTGTTTAATTTATATATGTTTTACACACAAGTTGGAATAGATTTCATTATTTCACATTTTTTATTACGATTTAATATTATTTTTAAATGACTTAATAAATTATCGATAGACGGCGCTCAAATGTTGTTTGTATTCAAAAATTTTCTAAAGTGTCACTTTAAAAATCATGTTTTTAAGATCAATTACGAAAATTTTGACATGTTAGAATGTTATATGTTAAAAAATTATTTGTTTTTAAATACCAGATGTTATCTTCGTATTTAATTGCTAACTTTTTAGATTTTACCTACCGCCCCGTAACTTACAGGAAACTGTAAATTTCATTTCCTCGACGACACTAGATGGAAATTTTATAAAAACCCTATACATCTGAACAACGTAAGACCAGTCTTAATTTGCGTAAAAAAGTGCGGCTTGAGGATTATGAGCGAGTACACTGTGTTGATTATTTATCTTAACCCACGTGACCTGTGTAATATTGGAGTTCTCAAAATCAAAATGATGACCACTGACAACATGATGATGAACCAAAGCGCTCTTATTTTCATCTCTAGATTGAGGTTTGATCTTTTAGTAGGGATAAAAGGAAGCCTTTCAATTATCTAACCTTTGTCGTTGGTCGTGTATTCCCGAGACTACTTACTTTAGTTTATTTGAAACATTTTTTTTTAAAAGCATAAATGGCGAAGTTATTGGCTATATTCCAGATATTTGACACACCCTGTTATGTAGGCAACCACATGAGGACTGTTGAGAAACCAAAGAAGACGAGGATGGATTTTCTAGAAGCATTGTGGCCTTCTTGAAAAACATCTAAAAGAGAGAGCTAAGATAGCCAGCCTTCCGCAGGATATAAAAAGTGTTCTGGCAAGGTATCAAGATGCTCCAGAGGAGCATGCGGTTCCTGACCAAAGAAGACGAGGTCCATGCCACGAATGCGGAAAACACAATAACAACACAACAATGATTTTTAAAGTGTAAATCTGTAAAAATAATTATAAATTTGTTTCCCAATCGTTTGTTTTATTAATTATTGATATTTCCGGATCATACGAATCATTTTTGGTATTAATATTTCGCAGTAAACGGTTAAAACATCAAATCGCGTGTAGCTAAGGGTTAAGCGACAAGAAAATTCTTGAATTATACCAATATTTTCTTAAATTGAAGCTCAAAGTTCTTCTTTTAAGATGTTTTTTTGTGCCCAGGTGGAAATCATTCCTTCATTTACCAACAATTCATGTCGTCGACGACACCTCAAGTTCCTTTAACGCAACAAATAGTTACAGTTCCGACGTTATTAAACTCACAAATGATGTGCCCCCCTTACGTTTACCAACAACAACAAGTAATAATGTCCGGACCATCATCGGTGATGTTACCGAAACATCTCCCGATAGAATGTGGCGAAAAAACGATTACAGAAGAAGTTTCGGATATCGAGGAATTAGTTGAAGACGAGGGTTTAATAAACACCGAAGAAGAAGAGGTGAAAAAACTTGAATCGGAAGAAAACGGCGATGGTGAAGAACTAAAAATTGAAGAAACGAACGTTACGATTGGTTTAAAAATAACTGAAATGGAAGAATTAGATAAATCGTGCCAAACGCAAAGCTTTGAGAACCAACAAATTGAAAATATTGAAGAAGAAGAGGTGAATTACGCGATTTTAACGAATTACGAGTCAAATTTGGGTGCAGAAACCGAAACGATTCGACAAGAAAATGTTGACATGGATGGGATGACGTTGTTTATTAACGATTTTAACGCTCCAGTTACAGTTGCGCGAGTTGAAGAGTTCGATATATCAAACGATCATCGCCCGAGAGTTTTAATGAACATTGGAAACACAATCGAAACATTCACAGTGAATCGGGACGAAAGTTTATCAAGAGAAAGTGCTAATATCCGCGCCGATGAGCATATGCCACCAAGAGGGGAATTATCCGGACAAGAAAGTAACGACACAAGCGAAAATTGGGTCCAACCCCCACCGAGATACGATAACCTATCAGTTTCTTATGATCTAATCGGTTTAAATTCAGAAATCACCTCGGAAAATAACGAGGTTAATGAGGTAAATGAAGTTTTCGACGACACCCCAACAGTTTCAGGTTTCCGGGAACCCCCGATAAGTTATAAATGCCCGAATTGTAACGAAACATTTAATTGTCCGAAAGAAAGAAAGAAACACCAAAGCGAAAAGCACAAAAAAATTAAAAAACGATCAAAAAAAACAGACGAAAACAATTTCGATAACGTTTTTAACCGATTTAAAATCGAACCCGAAATAGATAACATCGAATCGGAAGCTAAAGATAACGAGAAAAAAGAGGTTCTAATAAATCCTTTAATTTGTACGTTGTGCGATCGAGTTCTTCCCGATTCAAATTCATTAAAACAACACCAATTGGAGGAGCATCAATTAACAGTTGAGGTTAGGAATAAATGCAAAACTTGCGAAGCCACATTTCCAACGGATGCGAAATACACGGAACATTTAAAAATCCACCCTTTAGAATGTCGATTATGCGGAAAATATTTTTTCCGAAAACAAAACATGCAATTACACATGAAACGACATCTCGGTATTAAACCATTTAAATGTAACATTTGCGAAAAATCATTTTTAACAAAACAAAAACACGACGAACACAAAAATATCCACACCGGGGAAACCCCCATTAAATGCAAATTATGCGATGAAACGTTTCGGAGGCATTCGAACTTGGTGCAACATCGTAACCGACATCATTTTAACGTTAAAAGGAAATTAAAAGATTACGTTTGCGCGTGCGGGGAGGTTTTTCATTCGAAAAGAAAATTAGCTTGGCACAAAGAAATTCACGATACTAAACCGAAAGCTTGTAGTTTTTGTTCTGAAAAGTTTATACACATGGCTAGTTTAACTAGACATATTCGACGCGCCCATAACAAATGTTATTTACCGCGCGAAGATCGTAATTCGGAAAACGTGGAATGTCCAATTTGTAAAAACGTTTATCTTCGGAATAATTTAGACGTTCATATACGAAGTCATAGCGGTCAAAAACCATTCACTTGTTTAATTTGTAATAAAACTTTCTCGACGAAATGGAATTTAAAATTACACAAATGGACTCATGCGTCGAGAATGTCGAAGCCGTTTAAATGTGAGTTTTGTAAAGGAGCTTTTATAAGACAATCGGATTATACGGCCCATATGAATTCGCATAAAAGTGTTAAACCGTATACTTGTAATTATTGTGGGGCTCAGTTTATTAGAAAATATAACTGTCAAAGACATGTTAGGGAACATGAGAAGGATAAAACGCATTCTTGTAATATTTGTGGGAAAACGTTTCATCGTTCTTATTATTTAAAAGATCACATTAAGGTTCATTCGGGGGTTCGGCCATATATTTGCCATATTTGTGGGAAAGGTTCAACGACTAAATCGAATCATAACAAACACGTTCGAATTCATCACGCAAGGGAACCAGTCAGTGCAGAGAATTAAGTTTTTATTCAATTTTGACACTTGTGTTCATTTTAATTTTATTCTTTTAAAATAATTTTTTATATTTTTATGCAGGTGTTTCATATTTTATTAATTATTAAACGAAACACCTTTATAAGTACACTTTGCTCATCTTTTTGATGTAATCAAAGATTTTTATTTAAATAACTTTTTTTTTAGTTTAACTTTGTAAATAAGACTAAAAGTTTTAGAAACAATAACATTAATAAATAAGTAAAATAAATAATGGAGAATTAATTGATAAGAAAACTGTGTGCAATTTTAGTTTAATTTTAAACGAGGACTAGTTTTAATTTTAATATGATTTGTGGTGTAAGTAACGTTTTATATAAACAATTTTTTAATTTAGGACGGATATAAAGTAATTTTAAGATAAATAATGTGGATTAATTTAAGATTAATATAAATATCTTAAATAAGGATTGATTTTTTTATTTCCTAACCTAATTTTTGACAAGTCATTTTTGACAGCTTACACCAGAAGTTGGCTTTTAACATGCATGAACAAAATTAAGAAATATCACATTTTTGGGTTATCAACAAGTATGGGTAAATTTTCGCGTTGTGATAAATCAGTTTTTGAGGTTCGAAAATTGAGAAAAAATAAACAGAATCGTTTTAAATAAAAATCGCGTTTGACAGCTTGAAGTTGGCGCTTGTTGAAAATGAACGTTCTAACCTTAAAATGGTTAAATTCCGAATTCAATACATAAATTGGTTCTAATTTTACAACGATGATGGTTGTGGGGCTGTTCAACAAGTTTCACTTGTTTAAATAAGGAATTAATTAGTTCAAACAATTTTGTAAATATAATAAGCTTATTGATAAACATGAAAATATGTTAGATCAAAATGGAGAGAGGATAGATACTGTAGCGGTTATATGGAATATGAAGAAGGATCATACTATAGTATAGCTATTCAAATCTTCAAAAGAATCCAAAGAATATGGATATTCATCAAATATTCCATAGATTTTTCAAAGAAGCTAAATAATAAGAAACAGAATTAAGAGAAACTGCGACTAAATTTCGAACACCAGACCTACAACCTTAAAATATTACCAAATTTATATAGACAAAGAAAAAATATGAAAACGGGAAAAACTTACCAATGTTTATCTTGTTTTGACTTAATAAAGCACCTTCTATGTTTGTAAAACTTGGAAAAACGTTTTTAATTACCATACCATTTTAAATTGAAAACCATGTTTGACAGCTTATACATGCGTGAAGTTGGTTTGGTTAAAATGTAAGTTATAAATTTAAAATACAAATAAATTCATATAAACAAAAAGAAGATACGAAAACGGGAAAAACTCATTTATTAATGTTGTGTAATAGAAAATATAAATAATTATTAATGTGTTTTTACATAAATAATTTTTATAATTGAACATCTATTAAATAGATGGCGCCACTAAATACAACTAAAATCCCTCTTAAAAATTGTAATAAAAAGTGAGGTTATGATTCATTTCTCCTAAGTTAAAAATGTCAAATAATATTATTTTAACTAGTTCTCCAGGTAAAATTATAAATTTATTTATAAAAATCCTAATTAAAATATTCTAGGTGTACGAAGAACTACATTAATTAAAAAAATCGCTAATTTTATTATTATTTTTATAATTACTTTATCATTATTGTGTTCAGTGGTCCATGACTCGGCAAAGTCGACAAGTTTAATCTTCAGCGGCCCATTGTTGAGAGGTGATATTGTAATAAAGCTTCCATGACAGGTTTTACCTGAGAGAGAAACATAAACTCAATTCAGTTGACAATTACTTTTTAGTAGCTCATAATTCTCTTAAAACTGTCAATATCGTTTCTAAACCATCCAAAACGGGAAAATCAGTGTCAGCTACATCTAATTTATTAGATTCCCGAAGATTTTGAACGATTTTGACCTTGAAAATTGGATTTAAAATTTGTAAAATTCAAACTTTTTTTGTGGTTGAAGAATCTTGAAACCTTCAATGGACGGCTGAAATAGAAGGATATATACATGAAATACCAAGTTTCATTCAGATTAGTAAAGAATTAAAGAAGATATGAATAAAATAACTTTTGGAAGTTTGAGTAGTTCGAAAGAAATCCGCTAGTTCTCGAAATTTAGAAAGATTTGAAATTATTTTAAGGGAAGAAATTGCACGAAATCAGGAGCGAGGGTTAAAAATAGAAAGAAGAAAATTTTCGGGAAAAGGGTATATAAGAAAAGAAAAAAGTTGAAAAAAACGATATGTTACAATCTTTATAATTCGCGTTCTACTTTATCGTCCGCGGATTGACAGACCTGAAGTTATCTGCCACTATATGCATCATCATAAGAATAATACATAAAATGAAGATTAAATTGATTTACTATCAATCCATGTAAGTAAAAAAATTCTAAATAAAATAGGAAAGCGAAATAGCTATAACTGCCTTAAAAACGGATCTTTCGGTGACTAAGAAATAAAACTAAAACTAGAAATTTTGAGGTTATGCCGTGCGTCAAAAACCTTAAAATTTCTAGTTTAAGTTTTATTTCTAACGCAAAATCATACATTTTTTTTAATGAAACGTCAAAAAATTACACTTGATAAAGAATAATAATAATAAGAGATTAGACCATTTTCAATTCCTAAGAGGGTCCTTCCAATCCAATAGCGACCTTTGATCGAATTGAGTTTGAACATATCCTAAAAGTTATTTGTCAGATAAGTGGCAATTTTACTGTTAATTTTCAAGTCAATAATTCAAGATAGCTTACGAGTCAGTTGAAGAATCAAAATTACAATTTTATTATTAAAATTAAAATATTACCAAATTTATATAGACAAAGAAAATATATGAAAACAGGAAAAACTTACCATTATTTATCTTGTTTTGACTTAATAAAGCACCTTCTGTGTTTGGAAAACTTGGAAAAACGTTTTTAATTACTATTTTAAATTGGAAACCAGGTTTGACAGCTTATACATACATGAAGTTGGTTCTCGTTAAAATGAGCGTTATCAACTTAAAATACAAATAAAATCATAAAAACAAAGAGAAAATACAAAAAGGGGAACTAATTTATTAATGTTATGTAATAGAAAATATAAATAATTTTTAATGTGTTTTTACATAAATAATTTTTATAATTGAGCATCTATTAAATAGATGGCGCCACTTAATAAACTAAAATCCTTCTTAACAATTGTAATAAAAAGTGAGGTTATGATTCATTTCTCTTAACCTAAAAATGTCAAACAATCTAATTTTAACTGGTTATCCAGGTAAAATTATAAATTTATTTATGGCAATGCTAATTACAATATTTTAGGTGTAGGAAAAACTACATTAATTAAAAAAATCGTTAATTACTTACAATCGAAACATATTGAAGTAACTGGATTTTACACCGAAGAGGTTAGAAAGGATACAAAAAATAGAATTGGTTTTGATGTAATAACCTTAGAGGGAAAACAGGGTGTTTTAGCCAGAACCAAGTACCCACCTCATTTATTCTTAATTCTTTCATCATTAATTCTAATTATCGTTAAAGAGAACATACAAATGAAGAATCTAAACATTACGTTGGACAATACTTAGTGTTTCCCGATCAATTAGAATCATTAGTTTTGCCATTATTTCAGGTAAAAATCAGTTAAAAATTTATTTTTGCTGTAAATTTTACTTAAATAGGTACCTGCAAAAGTCATTGTAATTGATGAGATTGGAAAAATGGAATTATTCAGTGATAAATTTAAAACGGAAGTTACAAATTTGTTTAAATCAAAAAGCAAGTTGGTTATAGCAACAATTCCGGTTAAAAAGGGGTATCCAATAAAATTTGTTGAGGATATTAGAGAAAATCCTCAAAATGATGTGATTATGGTAAAAAAAATTAACAAAATTATTAAGGATTTTTATTTAAATTGTTTTTAGGTTAATCGTGAAAATAGGAACAAATTATTTAATGAAATTATTACTAAATTACGATATTAATTTTATTTTTTATAAAACTTTAATACTTTTATTTCATCACAACAAAAATCTTGGTGTTGATCTATTTTCGGTACAGAAACTTGTACGAAATTCTTGTTCATTTCATTTAAAAAATATTCCCAATTATTTTTTTGTTTCTCACTATCTCTTAATTCCTGTGCCAATATTATTTCCGTAAACGAATTACTATAATCTAATAAAGTTTTTATTAACGGATCAATAGATTCTTTATAATAAATGCAATCTGCTAAAATTATTTTATCCGGCACCTTTTTAAAATCAATCTTATCACCCCAACTTAAAGCACGAACACAAACTGACGTCTTTGTAGTTAAAAGTGTTTGATTTTCGTCCACGTTGTATTGAAGGAGTGGGATAGCTTCAGGTAAATCGCTCAATACAACTTCAGCTCTAAACTAAATAAGTTTTTATGTGTTAATAAAAGAAATTAATGAATTTACCCTAAACAAGCAGCAACTAATCCCGCACATCCTAAACCAGACCCTAATTCCAAGACAAATTTTTCTTTTAAAAATTCTTTATTTCTTTGGTACATAACCTCCAAATATTTTGCTAAAACTATTGCGGCGTCCCAAACAACACAACTAACTTCACCTTCGAGCTTTTGATGAAAAGTTAATGTTACGTTAATTGATTCGATGTCGTATTCGCGAATAAACGTGGTGGAATTCATTTAAAAAGGTTTTATAAAGAAATTAATGAGATAAAAAGTTGGGTTATGTTTATGTTAAGATTATTTAATTAGTTCTTGAATGAATAGCGTAGTGTGGCGCCATCTAGTAAATAATATATTAGTTAAGTGTGGTAGTTAAACGTGTCACGACTTGGGGGAGGCAGTTATATGTCCAGTTGGAAATCTCATTCCTAAGGTTTAAATGTCATATGTATATCAAATTGGAAATGCCATTTCCAAAGTAGAACTGTCATTTTTATACCATAAATGTCATCTGTCAAGTGAGAACTGTCGTATGTCAAGTTAGAATTTCTAGGATTTAAAATGGTAAGTTGGAAATGTCATTTTTAAAGTAGTAATGTCATTTTTATACTATAAATGTCATCTGTCAAGTCAGAACTTCTATATGACAAGGTATAAATATCATTTATAGGACTTAAATTCCATATTTTAAGTTGGATATGCATCTTTTTTATTCTGAAACTGTCACATGTCAAGTTACAAATATTTATAAAATCAAATTTATAGTTTGAGTGTTATATGTCCAGTTGGAAATGTCATTTTTAAGGTTTAAATGCAATATGTCACATTGGAAATTCTTCTTCTTCACAATGATAAGGCTTGGCAATGGGATTTGAAATTGGAAATTCGATTTTCAAAGGAGAAATGTCATTTTTATACTATAAATGTCATCTGTCAAGCTAGAAATGTCTTTTCTAGGGTATAAATATCATAATATGTTGAGTTGGAAATGTTGTTTTCAAAGATGAAATGTCACTTTTATAGTACCGCAACTTTCTTATGATATGTGTCAAGTTAAAAATGTCATTTTTATACTATAAATGTCATCTGTCAAGTTAGAACTGTCGCATGTCAATTTCTAGGGTTTAAATAATATATGGTAAGTTGGAAATGTCATTTTCAAAGTAGAAATGTCATATGTCAAATTGGAAATTCGATTTTCAAAGCCGAAATGTCGTTTTTATACTATAAATGTCATCTGTCAAGTTAGAAGTGTCATTTCTAGGGTTTAAATAATGTATGGTAAATTGAAAATGCCATTTTCAAAGTAGATATGTCATTTTACACTATAAATGTCATTTGTCAAGTCAGAACTTCTGTATGACAAGCTATAAATGTCATTTTTAAGGTTTAAATGTCATCTATCAAGTTAGAACTGTCGTTTGTCAAGCAAAAAATGTCATTTCTAGGGTTTAAACAATATATGGTATGTTGGAAATGCCATTTTCAAAGTAGAAGTGTCATTTTTATACTATAAACGTCATCTGTCAAGTCAGAACTTCTGTATGACAAGCTATAAATCTCATTTTAAGGTTTAAATGTCATATGTCAAATTGGAAATTCGATTTTCAGAGCCGAAATGTCGTTTTTACAATATAAATGTCATCTGTCAAACTAGAAGTATCATTTCTAGGGTTTAAATAATATATGGTAAATTGAAAATGGAATTTTCAAAGTAGAAATGTCATTTTATACTATAAATGTCATCTGTCAAGTCAGAACTTCTGTATGACAAGCTATAAATATCATTTTTAATGTTTAAATGTTATCAAGTTTGAACTGTCGTTTGTCAAGCTAGAAATGTAATTTCTAGGGTTAAAAAAAATATATAAATGTCATCTGTCAAGCTAGAAGTGTCATTTCTAGGGTTTAAATAATATATGGTAAATTGAAAATGCCATTTTCAAAGTAGAAATGTTATTTTTACACTATAAATGTCACCTGTCAAGTCAGAACTTCTATATGGCAAGTTATAAATGTCATTTTTAAGGTATAAATGTCATATGTCAATTTGGAAATTCGATTTTCAAACTAGAAATGGCGTTTTTATACTATAAATGTCATCCGTCAAGTTAGAACTGTCATCTGTCAAGTTAGAAGTGTCATTTCTAGGGTTTAAATAATATATGGTAAATTGAAAATGCCATTTTCAAAGTAGAAATGTTATTTTTAGACTATAAATGTCATCTGTCAAATCAGAACTTCTGTATGACAAGCTATAAATGTCATTTTTAAGGATTAAATGTAATATGTCAAATTGGAAATTCGATTTTCAAAGGAGAAATGTCACTTTTATACTATAAATGTCATCTGTCAAGTCAGAACTGTCGTATGTCAAGCAATAAATGTCATTTTTAGGGTTTAAATCTAACCTGTTAATAATATAATACATTAGTGAGATGATTTTTGGTTAGATGGCGCTAAAAACTTTAAAATGTCAAAAATGAGTTTAATTTTTATTTTATTAAATATCTACTTAAATATAATTAATAAAATTAAATAACAATAAAAAAGTGCTTCTTCTTACTCTATTACATTTAAAGGATGGTGAATATTGATTAATTTCTATTAAATCAAATTAATTTAAAATATTTCTCGTTGTACGACTACATTCTCAACTCGTATCCCATCATTTCCCCAACAGCTCCTTTTGCAAGTAAAAACGAGCACGTTGCCAAATTCCAATCGAGTAGCAAACCCGGCAACATCCGTAATTAAATGCAATTTTGGTATAAGCGTTGGCAAAATTTGAAATTCGAAAACTAATTCGCCCTGGCAATGCGAGCAGCTTCTCGGAATATCTTGTAGTTGACACAAAAGTAGCGGTTTTAAACTTTCTCTGGAATATCTTAATAATTGGCCGGGATTTTCTTGAACTTTGTTCGAAAAATAATGAAACATTTTGTCACCGTGAATCGGATCATCTTCTTCGTACTTCTCAATCGTTGCGTTATCCTCCGAATTGGTTCTTGATGGTTCTTCGCTTATAAAGTTTAAATCGGCTACATCATTGTGTCTTTGATATTCTTGTAAAAGTTCGCGAATGTGGTGATCAGAACCATTTGATGTTTTATTTTCTTCATAAACGCTCATAAAGTATGGTTGAAATTGTATTAAAGTCGATTTTTGTTGTAATTCTTTTGGTAGAGGTTCATGTTCTTGCAAGAGAAGTAATAAATCGTTTTTTGGTTGTGTTGGAGTATCGACGCTGATTACTTCACCTTCGTTTCCTTCTATTTCTGCAGTTGCTGTTGGGGAATTTAGTTTACCAACAGCACCTCCTATTAAAAGAAAGTATTTTTTTAATTGTTTCATTTTTATTTAAAATAATTGGACAGCGTTATGCATCACTTGATTAAGCGACAAATGAACAATGACTTCTCAGAATAGACAGAAATAGACAAATATTGTTAAAAAAGGTCACATATCAAAGTCGAAATCAGATTATTAGTTACTAATTCACAAAATTAAAGTTTAAAAAGTTGTAAAATGAAATTAAGGACGAAGTGTTACAAGTTTACAGGTTAAAATTTAAGAACACTCTTTTTTAACAAAAGATTTCATTTACATATAAACACATACACATTTACTTCAGTTATAAAACTTCTATTATATGATAACTAACTTCAGGTTTAAAATGTCAACCTCAATTTTGACATATTTGTAATCTTCATTAAAAATCTTTTAAAATGAGTACAAACACGACATATTTACCTTCAATATTAATGAAGTTATGGTCAACTTCCGGTTAAGAATGTCAACGTCAATTTTGCCATATTTGTAATCGTCGTGAAAAATCCTTTAAAATGAGTCCAAACATGATACGTTTAATTCCAATATTACTCGATATAAGCAACTTCCGGTTTGAAATGTCATTGTGACATATTCTTAATTTTTATAAAATGTCTTAATATTTGTCACAATAAAATAAAAAAATAAAAAAAATCAAAATTAAGGTTGGTATTAATATTTAAAAATTAAATTGCTATCTTCATTGTTGCTAACTTCGGGTTTAATGTTTTTTATTCTAACTTTTTTGTTTTTTGAGATAAGTGCGTCATCTTTGGACTCATTTTAAAGGTTTTTTAATGAAGATGACAAATATGTCAAAATTGACGTTGACGTTTTAAACCGGAAGTGATTGTATCTCCATTAATATCAAAGTTAAATGTGTCGAGTTTGGACTCATTTTAAAGGATTTTTTATGAAGTTGACAAATATGTCAAAATTAATAAAAAAAATAATAAAATTAAAGTTGACATTGACAACTGAAAGTTTTTTTCTTGTCAATATACATTTTTTAGGGTTTCTGTTGGTATTATCTAGGGACCCATATAAAATTTAGGTTGTTTTCCTGATTTTTAGTAATATTTTCAGTAACTAAATAGTTAAGGTTAAAATGCTAATAAAATTAATAAAAAAAAATTTAAGTTATTTTAATGAAATAGAACAAAACAAATGGTTCCTTCTGATTCACACTCTTCGAGGTTTATGGTAAATGGAGGAAAATCTTTAAAGGAAGTATTACCCGCATGAGTATGCCAGTCTTTTTCTATTAAATTTTCAACACAAGTTATACAATTGTTCCATACTTCTGCCGTAGAATTTAACAAAGCAGTATGCCACACGTTATTGACCCGATAAGTTGCGCTTTTTTTCTTGTGTTCACTTTATTTTAATTTTATTACTTGACTTTTTGAATAACGAATTTTCAAACAAATGTCAATGTGACATATTTATTTATTATTATTAGTTTTAAGCATAAATTAATTAATTTTCGCAAAAAAACATGACGTTTCATAAAATTGACATTTAATTTTGACAAATTGTGACGTTGGTTACAGTTGGTAACATTGAATTTGTGTCACATTACGTACAGCTCGTCCAGCTACGACAATCAAGGAATTTGATACTATTAATTGTTAATTTATTATTATGAACAAGTTATAAACACAAAATAATCAACATTTAATTGTTTTATCACTTCATTTCATGTTTAAATGTAAATTTATAACAGTACATTTGTTCAATATGTGAGGTTAAGTCGATGTGACGTTAAGTTTTTGACACAACATTAAATGAATTCTAAATGTCATTATACACAATTTGGTCGTTTTATTAATTTATAAACTTTAGAACACGCAGTTTTCGAAAAAATGTTGTTTGATACACGACAGAATTTCGTTCTCGAATGCAAAAGTGTCATTTCATTATCTTGTATCAAAAATAACTGTTTTCGTATGATTTAAGCGTAAATTAATTTTCGTAAAAAAACATGACGTTTCCTAAAATTGACATTTAATTTTGACAGATTGTTGTGAAGTTGGTTATATTGAATTTATGTCACATTGACGTTTAATTTTATTCAAAAATTTATTTAAAAAAATGAGTTTTAAAGGGTAGTCATTTTTCACCGAGTGAATAATAACGGTGAATATTAATTATTCACGAGTAATCAACTTGACAGGCTAATAATAATTATTTGAAACGTCAAAATTTCATTAAACATTGACATTAAAAAAACGTAAACAAATTCCTTTTTTCCAATGATTTAAGCATAAAATTATTAATTTTCGTAAAAAGAACACAACGCTTCATAAAATTCACATTTAATTTTGACAAATTGTTATGAAGTTGGTAACATTGAATTTGTGTCACATTGACGTTTCAACATTAGTTCTATTGATAAAAAAAAATTGTCTACAATAAAAACCAGTTTATTACATAATTAAAACTTAAATAAATTCATCTATTTATCACAAAATAATTAATCAACCTTCCTCTACCCGTTTTTTCATAAGAAAATGAACAACATTTTCGTAGGTTAAAAAGGTAATCATTGTAGCTGGGGTAACTCTTAATAAATTCGTTCCAAGTCCTTTATAAAATCCTCTCCACCCTTCAAAAGACCAAGTTTTAACAATACAATCCGTTGCGCCATCATAGGAATAATGCTGATTTTGTAATCGAGCTCTAATAACTTGATATGGATACGTAGTAGCTGCAGCAACTAACTTCGAAACAGCAGCACATGTTAAATACTCAAACGATGTTAATTTAGTTGTTATACTTGTCCCTTGATAAAAGTTATATTTATTTTTCATCTCTTCATAAACCATAAACTGTATAGCTCCATGCGAAACTCCAAATAATCCAGGCAAAAATCCTTTATAATAACCTCTTACTCCTTCTTTACTATAAATTTTTGTTAAAGCATCCATCATTCCTTTATACATCTCTTTATTGGGTTCCAAAAAGCCATATTGGAGGCACAATCTCGTTTTAACCACCCAAAGGGGGTTTGTAAACAATAACGTAAAAGCACCCGCTTGTGAGGCAGCTAAAAGATGTTGTGTAGGACTTAAAGGTTGTTGAATATTTCCTTTTTGTATAAACACCTTTAACGAGTTATAAAACAAGAAATATAACCCCCAAGAAGAACCAGCTCCCCAACAATTCGGAGTAACACCCCGATAAAGCCCTTTCACACCTTCTTGTCGATAAATCGTAACAAAAGCATTTGCAATTCCCGTATATTTCGGCGTAGCTCCACTTCTACCATCGTGTACGGCAAAACGAATCTTAATTACGTCCAAAGGGTGGAGGATCAAAGTCGAAACTAAACCACCGGAGAGACCAGCCACTAAATGTTCGTATCGGATGTGATTTAATATTTGATTTTTTATACTTTTTTTATCGGACGTGGGGGTTACTTGCGCTGTCGTAGTCATTTCTTTCGTAAACGATTTAATAACACTCACATTAGGATTGTTATTAATATCGTGGGGTCACGTTATCGAGTTTGAGGTTAGGACTACTATGAGTATCGCGCAAACGTCAAAACCTTATCGATTTTGAATGAGTAATAGTGATAAAAACGTGACCCCTAATTAGAATTTAAATTTTAGTACCTTCTAAAACGAATATATCCATCGTTAACCATTTTTTTGTTGGAATTTTGAGTGAAGAAAAATGTTTCAATGACGTTTCGAGGTTACGTTGCTATATTCATTGTAATCAATATGCCAATTTAAAATATTTTATTTAATTAATTTTAATTATTAAATATTAATTATTGGCGTAAATTGAGATCAAATTCTAAAATTACCTTTAATAATTCATAAAATGAAGTGATTTCTTTTAATCAAATTAAATTTGGGGTTGTTATCGGGTTTGAGGTTAGAACTGCTATGAACATCGCGCAAACGTCAAAACCTTATCGATTTTGAAATTTTTGAATGAGTAATAAAAATGTGATAAAAAAGTGACCCCCCAATTGTGAATTTAAATTTTAGTACCTTTTAAAGCGAATATATCCATCGTTAATCATTTTTTGTTGGAATTTTGAGTGAAGAAAAATCTTTCAATGACGTTTTTTGCTATATTCATTGTAATTAATATGCCAATTTAAAATGTTTCATTTAATTAATTTTAATTATTAAATGTTAATTATTGGCGTTAATTGGGCTCAAATTCTAAAATTACCTTTAATAATTCATATAATGAAGTGATTTTTTTTAATCAAATAAAATTTGAGGTTATGTTATTAAACCCAAATTTTTTTATGTAATATTTTTAATGAAACTTATTAAATTAAATTAATCCTACCTTGCGCTTCTGATAATCCAAAATTAGCATTTCGATCATCAATAGTTAATCCACCGAATCCTAAATGATCATCTTCATAACTAAAACTTTCGTCCTCATCTTCATCAGATGCTTTTGCCCCTATTAAATTTCCGTTTTCTTCGCCTAAATTAGCGTTACATTCGTCGTCCCAATTATCAGCATCTTGACACCAATCCGAAACGGGATTTAATTGCTTTGTAAAAGTCTCAGCGTTTTTTCCTTCCGTTGTTTGCGCCCTCAAACAACACCAACTACAATTTTTTTGAACTAAATGTTATTATTGACTTTTATTAAAGATTAACCTTTCGTTTTGATTCCAACACGATGGATTTATGCACGCGAACACATAAAGCGTCCGATGATTCGTGTCATTTTCTAAGGGGGCATAAATCTGTATTATTAAAGGTTGGGGAAGTTTGCAAAGTCCACAAAACGGGGTTGATACCGTTATATTCGATGGAAAATCCTAAAAAAAAATAAGACAAAAACACAAAGAATTGTATGTGTTGGGTTTTTTAACGTTTAATAAACTTACGGGGGTTCCACCGATTTTATTGATGGTGAAATTAACGCTATCTTTATATTTTTCATTGATGATTTCATCCTCATAACCCAAAAATACAGGCACGTTTCTTTGTGCCATTATTTTCGGTGTTCTTTGTAATTAGACAACACGCACAACACATGAAACGTGTGCGCAATGTTAAACGTAACACGTGTGCGCATGTTGTTATATTGATTTTTAAATTAAAATACAAAGAACTCGATAAAAAAGTATCAAAAAAATGATTTTCGTGGCCCCATTAACCTTTTAGGTTATGTTTAACAATGTCACTATATAAAAATATAAATAAATAAAGAATTTTAGTAACTAATTAATATAGGCTGAAAATAAGTTGTTTTTCTGGATTATTATAAGAAATATGCGACAAAGGTCGTTAAATTTAAATTTAGTTTGGAATTTTTTAGTTATTTTCTTAGGAATTTTCAAGTCATTTAACTTTTAGGGATTTTTTAATTTACACCAACTCGCTTTAACAACTTCGCGTTTACAATTATAACATTTTTACGATCATAAATAAATCATAATCTCGTTTTGTTTAAATACAATAAATTTAAATAAAAATTAATTTAAGATAAACAAAAAAAATTAATTTAAACAATAAAATCATATTTTAAGTTGGCACAACTTGAGAGTCTTATTAAACTGTCAAATAATTGTGTACTCTGAAATTTATAAACTTCTTATAAGATAAAAGCGAAGATAAGATACACTTTTTTTCATTTACACATGAAGTAAAAAGGTCCACGTAGTTCAGTTTCGTACCTAATAAGAAAATGAAGAAGTTATTTTTCTTATCATCACTTTTCGTGGTGTTTCAACTCATTTTAGCTCACGAAGAAGATGTTTACACGGTTCAATACAACAAAGATAATTTCGAAGATGAAATTGTTAAGAAAAATCATTTCGTTATGTTTTACGCCCCATGGTAAATATAAAAACGAAATAATTACTTGTATAAAAACATTTTTTTCTTGAGGTGCGGTCATTGTAAGCGATTAGCACCCACTTGGGAACAACTCGCTGAAATGTTAAACGAAGAAGATAGTAATGTTCGTATTGCTAAGGTTGATTGTACCGTGGACAGTCAAGTTTGTTCTAGTCAAGACGTCACGGGTTATCCCACATTAAAGTTCTTCAAAGTTGGCGAAAGTGAGGCTGTTAAGTTTAGAGGGACGAGAGATTTACCTTCTTTATCTGCATTTATTAATGAGCAATTAGGAACGGTAATTTTTAAAATTTTTTTAAAATAAATAAGATAAAATCGAGATAAAAATTAAAAAAAAGGTCGTTTTTAGGTTATTCTGATTAAGAATCATAAATTTTATGACTTTTTATTTGTTTAATTAACAGGATAGCGCCGATAATGAAATCTTAGACATTCCACAACCACTTAAAGGACTTGTTGAACTCACAGAAGACTCTTTTGATAAACACATCGAATCTGGGAAGCATTTTATTAAGTTTTACGCCCCTTGGTGTGGTCATTGTCAGGTAAATAAACTTATTAAATGAACCGTGTTATGCATCACTGAACAATGTTGAGAAAAACGGTATTTTCGTTTTCATCTCTCTAAAAATATGACTTCTCAGAATAGACAGGTTCAAACTGTTCAAAATTGTTTGGTGTCTATTCTATTTTTATGACTGATGTCGTTTTACTATTATACAGGGTGTTTCTGTAAGTGGTGGCATAAATTTAATCACAAATACTAGAGTATTTTTGAAGAAAATTATCTAGAGTTTGATTTTGTACTTTTCAACTGGTTTCTATTTTATATAGAATTTAAGTCTAACTACTTTCGGCCCTTAGCCACCTTCAAAGACTCTACAAATAGATTAACATCCCTTATCCTATCCATTTTACAAACAAGTTTCTTAATATTTCATTTTCTTTTGTTAAAAAAGATCACATATCTTTATATTATAGGTTTATATTAAAAAAAATCGGTTTTTTTATAATTTTCCTTGAGATAAGATGTAATGAAAAGTATAAAAATGTCCACAGGTGTTTGAAAAAAATTGTTTTATGAGATATGAGATGGTGCAAAAATGCACCACTGGTAAAATAAACGAACAACAACACAAAAATATAAATAAATAATAATAGTAATACAACATAATACTATCAAATACCAACTTTAGTATGAAGTTTAATCTAACAAATATTTATACTAAAATTGGTGCAAAAACGCACCAATGGGATGAACAGTGTAATCATATATTGTGATAATATTGTGGCTGGATTAACCAGTAGACGCTTGAAGCACGCGCCTCAAGGTCCTGCACTTACAGAGGCCCGATTCTGGTTTGATATTGCATAGGCATATAATACATATTACATATATTTTGCACCATTAATGTTTCAAGTTGTATTTTCAGAATTCATATTTTTATTTCGCGTTTTAAGATATATATCAGGAAAGAGTATGCACTAAAAACTTGCAAATGTCAAAATTTTAAAGAATTTTATGCACGAAAAATAGTTTTATTCCATTGTATATTTTGAACAGAAATTTTCAATAGAAAAGAATTGATGCAAATTTAAAAAAATAGCGAAGAAAAATCGCTAGAAAAATTCAAGAATCATCACGTGGCTTTATTCTATGTGAAATGACCCAAAAAACACGTTAAAAATAAAAAGATTCATTTTAAAGGTTTTTTTTTAATAAAGAATACATCATGAAATAACACCATGAAGTTGTCCATTTGTCTATTATATGATAACTAACTTCAGGTTTAAAATGTTAACCTCAATTTTGACATATTTGTAATCTTCGTTAAAAATCCTTTAAAATGAGTACAAACACGACATATTTATCTTCAATATTAATGAAGTTATGGTCAACTTCAGGTTAAAAATGTCAACGTCAATTTTGACATATTTGTAATCGTCGTGAAAAATCCTTTAAAATGAGTCCCAACATGATACGCTTAATTCCCATATTACTCGAGATATAAGCAACTCCCGATTTGAAATGTCAATGTCATTTTGACATATTCTTAATTCTTATAAAATGTCTTAATATTTGTCACAAATACAAAAATATAATAAAAAAAACAAAAATTAAGGTTGGTATTAATATTTAAAAATTAAATTGCTATCTTCATTGTTGCTAACTTCGGGTTTAATGTTTTTTATTCTAACTTTTTTGTTTTTTGAGATAACTGTGTCGTGTTTGGACTCATTTTAAAGGTTTTTTTTTTAATAAAAAATACATCATGAAAGAACACCATGAAGTTGTCCATTTGTCTATTATATGATAACTAACTTCAGATTTAAAATGTCAACCTCAATTTTGACATATTTGTAATCTTCGTTAAAAATCATTTAAAATGAGTACAAACACGACATATTTATCTTCAATATTAATGAAGTTATGGTCAACTTCCGGTTAAGAATGTCAACGTCAATTTTGACATATTTGTAATTGTCGTGAAAAATCTTTTAAAATGAGTCCAAACATGATACGTTTAATTCCAACATTACTCGAGATATGAACAACTTCCGGTTTGAAATGTCAATGTCATTTTGACATATTCTTAATTTTTATAATATATCTTAATATTTGTCACAAGAACAAAAATATAATAAAAAAAAATCAAAAATTAAGGTTGGTATTAATATTTCAAAATTAAATTGCTATCTTCATTGTTGCTAACTTCGGGTTTAATGTTTTTTTTGTTCTAACTTTTTTATTTCTTGAGATAAGTGCGTCTTGTTTCGACTCATTTTAAAGGTTTTTTTTTAATAAAGAATACACCATGAAAGAACACCATGAAGTTGTCCATTATACGATAACTAACTTCAGGTTTAAAATGTCAACCTCAATTTTGACGTATTTATAATCTTTGTTAAAAATCATTTAAAATGAGTACAAACACGACATATTTATCTTCAATATTAATGAAGTTATGGCCAACTTTCGGTTAAGAATGTCAACGTCAATTTTGACATATCTGTAATTGTCGTGAAAAATCTTTTAAAATGAGTCCAAACATGATACGTTTAATTCCAACATTACTCGAGATATGAACAACTTCCGGTTTGAAATGTCAATGTCATTTTGACATATTCTTAATTTTTANACATATTTGCAATCGTCGTGAAAAATCTTTTAAAATGAGTCCAAACATGATACGTTTAATTCCAACATTACTCGAGATATGAACAACTTCCGGTTTGAAATGTCAATGTCATTTTGACATATCTTAATTTTTATAATATATCTTAATATTTGTCACAAGAACAAAAATATAATAAAAAAAAAAATCAAAAATTAAGGTTGGTATTAATATTTAAAAATTAAATTACTATCTTCATTGTTGCTAACTTCGGGTTTAACATTTTTTATTCTAACTTTTTTGTTTTTTGAGGTAAATGCGTCTTGTTTGGACTCATTTTAAAGGTAGTTTAATGAAGATGACAAATATGTCAAAATTGACGTTGACGTTTCAACCGGAAGTGATTGTATCTGCATTAATATCAAAGGTAAATATGTCGAGTTTGGACTCATTTTAAAGGATTTTTTATGAAGTTGCCAAATATGTCAAAATTAATAGTTGAAAGTTCGAACTTTTTGGCTTTTTGAGATAAATGCGTCATATTTGGACTCAATTTAAAGGTTATTTTATGAAGATTACGAATATAATAATAAAATTAAAATTGACATTGACAACTGAAAGTTTTTTTTTTCACGACTAAACCCTTTACTGTTTAATATTTATGTTAACGACATATTTGACGTCGTTAATTATAAAACTTTCTCCGCATCTCCTCACCTCTTGATTGTTCTAGATTGCAATCTGACTGAAACAAGCTACATGCTTTTTGCTTAAATAATCGCCTTTCATTAAACTTATCAAAGTGTAATATTATTTCCTTCTCTAGGAGGGTGAACACAATCCACTACAATTATAACGTCGCTGGTGAGAGGTTGCAAATAGAAATCTCTATTTTGCCTATGTCTACAGCACACTTAAATTTTGCAGCGTCGTTTTAATCCTCAGTATCTCTCGTATAAATCTAGAATTGAGCGTATTCAATCTAAATTCCGCAAATACCCTCCGACATTACTTCGCTTTGATTTTCTATTTATAACAGCTACTCCTAGAACCAATGCCTGTCAAAACTCTCCTTTGTTGAAAATGGCAAGATCAGCAACTCGTGTTAACATAGATCTAATTCAGCATTCTTTCTGTGTATTTAAAAAGCTGCTCTTTGCTGCAGTTGGTGTGTTGCCTCGAGCGTTCATTTGATATTTGATTTATGATATATTTATATCACCTAGACTTAGTTTTAGTTTGTGGCACAGTGTTATTGGGTTCGACCTGTTTCTGTACCCACATGAGATAAATCTTATAAAAACTAACGCTTCCAACCGCTGTCGTTTGTAAAATGGATAAGATGAGAGATGTTAATCTATTTATAGAGTCTCTGAAGATAGAGATATTCTGTATTTTTTCTAAGATAAGTTACACTTTTACCTACCAGACAGTATGAAAATCTTTAAAAACGATAAAATGTCGCTTAGTCAAGTGATGTACAACGCGGTCTAAATATAAATTAAATTAATCTAATTAAAAATCGTAGAAATTAGCTCCAACATGGGAGGAATTGGCGAAATCTCTCGAATTTCAACCTGATGTAACAATAGGAAAAGTCGATTGTACTCAATACCGATCCGTTTGTAATCAACACGAAGTTAAAGGTTATCCCACTTTGTTATGGTTTGAAGATGGCAAAAAAGTAACAAAAGAATAAATTATTGTTGTCAAAAAAATAAATTTGTCAAAAAAAAATTATTTTTAGATTCAAAAATATCAAGGTTCAAGGACACATGAAGATTTAAAATCGTTCGTTGGCAAAATGATGGGTTCCGAGAACGAAGTGGAAAATCCTAAAGGTGATGGAAGAGGTGAAAGTCCCGTTGTGATTTTAAATGGGAAAAGCTTCGATAGTGGCATTGAAAAAGGATTTGCTTTCGTTAAATTCTTCGCGCCTTGGTATAACCTAACTATTAAATTAATTATTTTATTAAAATCTTTGTTTTTTTTTAGGTGTGGTCATTGTAAACGGTTAGCTCCAACTTGGGAGGAACTGGGGAAGAAATTTAAAAAGAATCCTAACGTCAACATCGTCAAAGTGGATTGTACGGTTGATGAAAGTAAACAACTTTGCAGTGATCAAGATGTTGATGGTTTTCCTTCGATATTCTTATATAAGAATGGAAGAAAAGTTTCTGAATATAATGGAAATCGTAGCCTAGAAGATCTCACAGAGTTCGTCATTAAACACGCTGGGGGCCACGACGAGCTGTAGAAGACCTAAACATCATCAAACACCTAGTATATCAATTTTTGTTTCAGATTGATAACCATTCCTCCACTTCCTCATTTTGATTTTTGAACGTAAAAAATTTTGTAGTGAAATAAAATTTTGTGAAAAAATATTGCCTTTTATTTTTAAAACATTCATTTTTATCAATAACATTTAATTATTAATAATAAAATCATTAATTTTTGAATTATTTCAATATCTAACCTCACTTTTTGTAATACCAACCGTCTATTTAAAAAAAAAAACAAAAAACCCTTCTTTTATACTGACATATGTCAACCACGCATTTCTCCGGTTAAAAATCGTTATTTTTATTAAAATCTGAGTGTTTTAGTGATTAAAAAGGTGTAAAAATGCACGTCCCACCAATTTTTATCGATGTTTCCGCCGATGATCAGGTTAAAACTTAATTGGATTAAAAAAAAATTGATTTTATGTAAACAATGAGGTTATGTTCGTTGTAGGCTCAAGAGCTTCGAGCATATTTGAAGAGTTTGGGGGCTGAAATCTCTGAAGAGAAATCCCCGAAAGGTTTGGAGGATGATCTGCATAAAATAATCGGGGTTTGTGATGCTTGTTTCCGCGAGGGTCAAGAAACGGAAGTTGAATGTGTGTTAAATGATATTGTATCGATTATGGTTTCCGTAAGTTTTTTTTTAATCAATCTAAATTAACTTTGGAAAAATTTAAGAATCAACATTTACCAAAAAAACACGTTAAAAATAAAAAAGAAGTGTAAATATACTGAAAAATCACATTAAAATTTTGATGTGACATCACAAGCAAGTTAATAATGATAATAATAATGGAGTTTATTCTCTACAATAGTATATTATTATAGGAGTGTTATTCACTAAGGTTAAGTTGAATGGCATAAAGTTGAGTGGCATAATTAACCTAACATTCTCATCTTGTCAAATATTTTAACCTAATTTAGAACCAAGATAAACATGATTATTATTTTCTTTATAATGTAAAATGTGTACAAGTGACTAAAACGGGCTGCTATGACGCAAATTTCAACCCAACCTAACCTCACTTATTCAAGTGACATTTTTCACAACTTACTGCCTCTGGAATAAGAAATAAAACTAGAAATTTCAGGGTTATGCCGTGCGTCAAAGACGCACGGCCTCAAAATTTCTGGTTTTAGTTTTATTTCTAACGCAAAATGAGAAATAAATTTCTTTTAATAAAACGTCAAAAAATGTCACTTTAAGACACATAGGAGATAGCGCCATCTGCCGAAAGAAACCTTAAATTATACGTTTGTAACTATCTTCTCATCATGTCAAATATTTGAACTTAATTTAGAAACACGATTATTATTTGATTTTCTTTATAACGTAAAACGTGTACTAGTGACTAAAACGAGCTTCTATGACGCAAATTTCTTATTAGTTTAAAAAAAACTGAGTGAGTTTAATAAATTTTTTTAATGAAACGTCAAAAAAATGTCATTTTTGTGAAAAAGTGAGGTTAGGTTGTGTTTCAAAAGTGTGATTAAAAATCATCAACATCATTTTCTAGCACAGCTTTAAACTAACACGGCCGTTTTCGAAGACATCGGCCGCCCCCGGCCATCGCGGGCGCTAAAACATTGAAAATCTTGAGTTGGATCTCTACTCGCATTTGTGAGAATGAACATTTCGTGTTGTCGGGGCGGCCGATGTCTTCGAAAACGGCCGTGTTTGTTTAAAATTGTGGTGGGAAATTATCCCAACCTCACTTTTCCAATTAAACTTAAGCTCATTTTTCCAAGTGGCATTTTTTGACGTTTCATTAAAAAAAAATTGTTTTACTCACTCAGTGCGTCCTCAACGATTTTTTTTTCATATTAGCGATTCATAAGAAGCGATCTCGGCCGCCCACAAGATACGAAATATCCATTCAACCCAACCTAACCTGACTTATTCAAGTGACATTTTTCACAACCTTTACTGCCGATGGAAAAAGAAATAAAACTAAAATTAGAAATGTTAGGTCAATTATTTTAACTCAACATTTCTAGTTTTAGTTTTATTTCTAACGGAAAATTAAAAATAATATTCTTTTAATGAAACGTCAAAAAATGTCACTTTAAGACACATAGGAGATAGCGCCACCTACCAAAAAAAAGCCTTAAAACATAGGTTTGTAACTATCTTCTCATCATAATACAAATATTTGAACTTAATTTAGAAACACGATTATTATTTCATTTTCTTTATAACGTAAAACGTGTACGAGTGACTAAAACGAGCTTCTATGACGCAAATTTCTTTTTAGTTTTATCTCTAAAACTGAGTGAGTTATATAAATTTTTTTTAATGAAACGTCAAAAAATTTCATTTGAAAAAGTGAGGTTAGGTTGTGTTGGAAAAGTGTGATTAAAAATCCTCAACATCATTTTCTAACACAGTTTTAAACTAACACGGCCGTTTTCGAAGACATCGGCCGCCCCCGGCCATCGCGGGCTTTAAAACATTGAAAGCCTTGAGTTGGTTCTCTACTCACATTTGTGAGAATGAACATTTCGTGTTGTCGGGGGCGGCCGATGTCTTCGAAAACGGCCGTGTTAGCTTAAAACTGTAGTGGGAAATGTGTTATTTTTCTTTATCTATCTGTTCGTCCCAACCTCACTTTTCCAATTAAACCTAACCTCATTTCTCCAAGTGACAATTTTTGACGTTTCATTAAAAAAAAATTTATTTTACTCACTCAGTGCGTCCTCGAAGATTTTCTTTCGATATTAGCGATTTATAAGAAGCGATCTCGGCCGATTTCGAAGACGTCGGCCGCCCACAAGATACGAAATATCCATTCAACCCAACCTAACCTCACTTATTCAAGTGACATATTTCACAACTCTTACCTCTGATGGAATAAGAAGTAAAACTAAAACTAGAAATTTTAGGTCAATTATTTTAACTCAACATTTCTAGTTTTAGTTTTATTTCTAACGCAAAATGAGAAATAAATTTCTTTTAATGAAACGTCAAAAAATGTCACTTTAAGACGCATAGGAGATAGCGCCACCTGTCGAAAAAAGTCTTAAAATATACGTTTGTAACTATCTTCTCATCATGTCAAATATTTTAACTTAATTTAGAAACACGATTATTATTTGATTTTTTTTATAACGTAAAACGTGTACGAGTGACTAAAACGAGCTTTTATGACGCAATTTCTTTTTAGTTTTATCTCTAAAACTGAGTGAGTTAAATAAATTTTTTTAATGAAACGTCAAAAAAATGTCATTTGAAAAAGTGAGGTTAGGTTGTGTTGGAAAAGTGTGATTAAAAATCCTCAACATCGTTTTCTAGCACATTATAACAACCGTAAGAATCGCCACGCTTCGAACCGTTACGTTACAACCATTTACGTTGATCTTGTGTATTATTGTGAGGGTCTTTCAAATTGATTACGTGTGAATAATGATTATTTGGAAAGTATATCTGTTTTCCAAACAATTATTAAAGTCTTTGAAAGCAATAAGTAGTCTTGGAAGCAGTATTCCGCCTCTCCAAGTAGGTCAAAACCTTTAACAGCAGTGTTTAGCGTTCTGGAAGTAAGTTGTGGTGTTTTTCTGCAGTATCTAGCATTTTAGAAGCAGTAGGTAACTTTTTGAAATAGTATTTCCTCTTTCCAAGTACTTTTTAGTCTTTTACTAGCAGTATTGAATCTTCTTAAAGCAATAATTAGTCTTTTGCCAAGAGTATCTAGCATTCAAGGACAAATAAGTTAAAGATATTAGGTTATCTTTAGTTCATAGATTGTAAATAACGACATTTTAGTCGTTGTGCGTCGAATACCTAAGAAATAGCCGTATTTCTCTCGAAAAAATGCGTTTTAACCAAATGTGCTGCGAAAATAAAGTGATTTTTCGGTTAATTTTACACTTTTCCGCACTTTTTTTTATTTGTAATTGAATTATAACTTTTAGTAAAAACCTTTTTTTTTTTAGATTCCCTTAGAGAGATCGGAAAACATAATTTTAGCATTTTGTGAAAAACTTACAAAAGCAACCGGTGTAAAATTGGGAAACGTCTGTTTGCGTGCATTATGGTTATTATTTCAATCTTTAGACGAACGTTCTCCAATGAGATATCACGTTTACTACCATTTGATTGTTATTGCAAAAACGACGGATGAGATTAAATCAGTATTTAAAGATGTCGATAACTTAAAACAACAATTTGCTTTGTGCCCACCTTCCAACGACCAATTGCAAAAGCTTTATAGGTTATTACACGAAGTTTTATTAAAAAGCAATCAGAGCGAGCAAGCTGCGAAAGTTATGATCGAACTTTTAAGTACATACACGAGTGAAAATGCGTCCCAAGCAAGAGAGGATGCAATAAGATGCATTACAACAGCATTAGCTGACCCAAAAACGTTCTTACTTGACCCCCTTTTATCGTTAAAACCCGTAAAGTTTCTCGAAGGTGATTTAATTCACGACTTATTAACGATATTTGTCTGCGAAAACTTGGAAAGTTACATGAAGTTTTATAAGAATCATAAAGAATTTGTAACCCAACAAGGTTTAAATCACGAACAAAACATGCAAAAAATGCGGTTATTATCTTTTATGCAACTTGCTGAGACAAATCAAGAGATAACATTTGAAATTATTCAAAAAGAACTTCAATTGGGACCGGAAGAAGTTGAACCCTTTATAATTGAAGTTTTAAAAACGAAATTAGTTAGAGCAAGAATGGATCAGCTTGTTAAAAAAGTTTTTGTCTCGAGTACGATGCATCGCACTTTCGGTAGAGCTCAATGGCAACAATTACGGGATTTATTACATGCTTGGAAAAGTAATTTAAATTCAGTTCATGATGGAATGAAAACTATTACGGCCGCCCAAATAGAACTTATGAATCAACAGTAAAGTGTTAAGATTATAATTAATTTTGGGAGTTTGTAATGAGTAAATAAAAAAAAACTATTGAGGTTATGTTTGTTTTAAATGTCATCATTTGCATTAATTGAGGTTAGGTTGAATTTATTTTTATGGATTCATTAATCTATACAAAAGTCAATCAAAATTAAGTTAGATAGACTTTGTGTTAAAACTAACATTAGTCCAAAAACTAGATTTTTTTTGAATCAATGTGAAATGACCCAAAAAACGTTAAAAATTAAAAGAAAGTGCGGAAATATGACTAACACTAGATTAACTTCAGTTATAAAACTACTATTATATGATAACTAACTTCAGGTTCAACCTCAATTTTGACATATTTGTAATCATTAAAAATCCTTTAAAATGAGTACAAACACGACATTTATTTTCAATATTAATGAAGTTATAGTCAACTTCCTTTTAAGAATGTCAACGTCAATTTTGACATTTGTAATCGTCGTGAAAAAGTCTAATATTTGTCACAAAAATATCATAAAAAAAATCAAAAATTAAGGTTGGTATTAATATTTAAAAATTAAATGCTATCTTCATTGTTGTTAACTTCGGGTTTAATGTTTTTTATTCTAAGTTTTTTGAGATAAGTGGGACATCTTTGGACTCATTTTAAAGGCTTTTTAATGAAGATGACAAATATGTCAAAATTGACGTTGACGTTTCAAACCGGAACTAATTGTATCTTCATTAATATCAATACCAGTTAAATATGTCGAGTTTGGACTCATTTTAAAGGAGCATGCGATGCTGTAATAAGAGTTTAGTAACATTTTATGGAACCAGTTCAAGTTGGTGACATTGGGTCATTAATATTTCTAGTTGTCAATGTGACAATGTGTGTTGAAACCATATATATACTATCTTCTATATCGCTGACTAAGGCAGCAAAAGAGTGTAAACACTAGAGTGCAGATATATATATATCTGTCTTTGTCGTACCCCCGTCGACTCAAGAGACATGTGTGAACACGTGATGAGTACGCTTTTATCTTATTGGACGGTGAATTAAAAATTAATAGCAGCTGATGACCTTGATGTTTATAAATCAACAAATAATCGTCTTTTATTTTGTTACCCTTTTGTAATCTAATCAAAAATAATTGGTGTAACCCACAAGTCTGGTAAGTACATGGCGCAAACATAAACAAACAAGCAGCTAATTATTAATAATGAAAATTTTAAGATAGAATGTTATGTACTTTAAATAGTAAGTATATATTTTATATCTTTCATTAATGTAACAACTTCTTTAAATAGCGTGAGCCCACAAATTATGTTAAAAATTATATATTTTTTTTAATGAACAATCTACATAAAGTTGATATTTAATGCAATATTTAACCTCAATTTCACACAAAAGTACATATACTCTAATTTATTTGATGCATCAGTGATAATTTATAGTTAAAGTAAACCATCTATAATAATAATTGCATTTTAAAGCTGCATAAAATACGCGCGAAACACTTCACACTCTTTAAAATTTACGATTCGCGCTAGCGCTTTCACGACACCGGGGTACGACAAAGACAAAACATATATCATGCCGTCTTCTTTTGATGGAAACGCTCGCCACTCATTGCTTAGATAGGGAGTCAGCGATATAGAAGATAGTATATATATGGTTGAAACCATTTAAACACGTTCTTAGCATCGAATACAAGGTCCACAATGAAAAGAACTGAGCAATTTCTCTTATTTTGGGAGGTGTACATGAAACATTGTTTTCAGGTGAATACATATTGTGTTTTGACATTTCTAATTGTCAATTCAAATTTCTATTTTCCGGTGTTACCAACTGCTACATACCTATTTCCCTACATTGTCACAATTTATTTTATTTTTGTTAAAAAAAAAAGAAATTAGCAAAAAACACGTTTCGTAAGACTTAAAGCATTCATTAAAAAACTCGTGGCTTTATACAGTTTAATTTTGGGAGTTTGTAATAAATAAAAAAGATTGAGGTTATCTTTTTTTTAAACGTCAACATTTGTATAAATTGAGGTTAGGTTGAATTTATTTTATTAATTTATTGATTCATTAACCCATACAGAAAAAAAAAATACAAAAATCAATCAAAATTAACCTATTTAATATTAATCCTTTTCCGCAATAGCAACAAGGTGTTTATCAATTTCATTTTCACCCAACTTTGTAAATTTCGGGTTATCCTTACTAACAACTCCAACTTCAATCTCTGATGGTTTAAAATCGACTGATAATACGCTTGATAAACAGCTAATAGCCAATTGAATAACCTCATCAAATTGCAGCTCTTGTTTCTTCTTTAATTTCTTCTCTAAATAACTGTTTGCCTCAGTTTGTTTCGACCCAACACTAACAGCTCGATATCCACAATAATATCCAGCAGGATCAGTCTTATAGACACACGGTCCTTTTTCTTGATCATACCCAATTAAAATCATCGAACAACCCAATGGTCTCATTTCAGCATTTTGAGTATAAACTTGGGATATATCAGCGATTCTTCTACACAAAGAATCAATGGGCATCTCATAACCATATTTATACTTGAATTGGGCTGCTTCGTAACGAGCTCTTTGCACCTGCGATTTACTATCAGCAATCATTCCAGTCATAACACACCCAGAATGTTCGGTTAGTTGAAATAAATGCCCTATTGTGTCGGAATCGATGAGTTTATCAGGAATCTTTTTTTGAGTAACACAAACAGCCGAATCGACTCCTTTTAGAGCAATCGACGTGAGTCCAGCTTGATTAATAGCTTTAAAAGCATATTCTACCTGGTAAAGTCTTCCTTCGGGTGAAAAGATCGTTATGTGACGATCAAAACCGGCACTGCTACCTCTGGACATCTTTTCATAAAACTTTTTAACGATTTTAAACCGGTGATTGACAAAGCACAATGATTATGAAGTTTTTGTTGGGTGTCGCGAATTTAGAGGTTATATGTCAAAATTAGGTGAAATGAACGTTAGATGAAATGATTTTTTTTAAAGAGAATAATTATTTTTTTAATTTAACTATAAATTTAATTAAATTTATAATTAATTATTGTTAATAAATATATTTAGTAATAATAATCTAAAATTTATTTAATTTAATTTAGTGATTAACTTACAGAGGTCGCCTCTATCTTAAAAACACGCGTGCTGTCAAAAAATTGTTGATTCAAAATAGTAATTGAAATAAAATCGTTTTAATAATTAATTAAAACGAAATTAATTTAATTTTATTAATGAAATCACGATGAAATTTGCGTATAAAGTGAGTATCTTTAAATTTAAACCAAAATATGAGAATTTTAGCGTTAAAACAAATCTAACCTAACTTTTTTCATTTAGTTTAGCAACTTGCTGGGTTCTGTTTATAAAAAGGGCGATTTGCTTTTCTCCCCCGATGGAAACTCGGTTATTAGTCCCGTAGGGAATCGTATCACAATATTCGATTTACGAAGGTATAAATTTTAAATAAAATAATCAAACATAACCTCATTTTTTTTTTTAGAAATAAATCTACAACTCTTCCCATTGAAAGTCGATATAATTACAACGCGTTAGATATAAGTCCTAACGGTTGTACTTTAGTGGCGATTAATGAAAAAGGTGATGCACAAATAATAAGTTTAATCTCACAAACTGTTGTGCATCGATATCGATTTAAACGAAAAGTGAATGCTGTTAAATTTAGCCCCGATGGCAAACATTTCGCGGTTTGTAAAGAGAGTAATGGTAAGTTTTTGAAGTTGTGGTGATTAATTTATACTTTGTTTGGTTAGTTTTTGTGTTTAAGGCTCCAGGTCAATTTACTGGTGAATATAACGCCTTTGTTATGGAACGGGTTTTCCATGGAAATTTTGATGTTACTACATGTTTGGATTGGTCTTTTGATTCAAAAGTTTTAGCAGTTGGTTCAAAAGATATGACTGTTAAATTATACCCTCTTGATAAGTATGTAATTAATAATTTTTTAATAACTACCTTATAATATATACCTTATAAATGAGTTTTCTAAAATGAAATAAATGTGAATAATCATTATTCACGGGTAATCAACTTGATAGACTAATAATAATTAATTGAAACGTCAAAATTTCAAAAAAACGTCAATTTAATTTAAGGTTTTAGGGCTTTCTGAAGGTTTGACATTAAAAAGACCTAAACAAATACCTTTTTTCCTATGATTTAAGCATAAATTAATTAATTTTCGTAAAAAAAACATGACGTTTCATTAAATTGACATTTAATTTTGACAAATGGTTGTGAAGTTGGTTACAGTTGGTAACATTGAATTTGTGTCACATTGACGTTTAAATTTTATTCAAAAATTTATTTAAAAAATGAGTTTTAAAGCGTAGTCATTTTTCACAGAGCGAATAATAGCGGTGAATAGAGCTTGCAATACCGGGATCCAGGGTACAATACAGGGTATTTCGGTATTATTTTTATTTAGCGCCTTCGACAGCCGGGGGCGGCCGATGTCTTCGAAAACGGCCGTGCTAGTTTGAAGTTGTATTGGAAAATGACGTAGAGATTCTTGTTTGTTATCTATCTTCTGTTCGTACTAACCTCATTTTTTGATCAGTGTGAATACCATCTACAAGAAATATCATTTTACGCTCTGACAGAATGTTGAAGATAACGAAGACTCAACCTTTGATGACGACAACTTAATGTTCGTGATTAATAAATTTGTCATACCTAGCCAACAATAAAACACTCTCTGCATACAACTATTTGGAATTTTTAGGTCAGTTTGATTCGTGTAGTGTCCCACCAAATATAACAGTATTATGATAAGTCTGACAAACTGCCAAGAACAATTATGTTAAGCTTTTTTTCTTGAATCTGCACCTTTCCAGAAAATTTCAAAGCAGCAATTCGAAAGAATTCCACAGAGCTTCAGATGATGAAGTGTAATTTCATTTTTTGACGCGGCAGTGAAGTTGAACCTTTGGACCAAGTGAAAGACAACAAATCAATAATGGTATCCAGACCTTTAAGTTTATTGGTACTTTGTACAGATTCCTAATATCTTTCCATTTTTTGATTACCTTCTTAGATTCTGTATCTTATGCTTTGTTGCCAATCTAAAAATATAGTAGGAATTAACCCGTCGTTAGTAGAGGTGACACCGCAGAGGGGAAATAATCTTACAATAATTGTATTGTGTATATCTAATTATTAGATATATCTAGTGATTGTAATTTAATGATTTTGGCCGGTATTGCAAGCCCTAGCGGTGAATAATCATTATTCATAGGTAATCAACTTGACAGTCTAATAATTATTTGAAACGTCAAAATTTCAAAAAACGTCAATTTAATTTAATTTTTAGGACTTTCTAAAGGTTTGACATTAAAAAAACGTTTACAAATTCCTTTTTTCGTATTATTTAAGCCTAAATTAATTAATTTTCGAAAACAAAACATGACGTTTCGTAAAATTGACATTTCATTTTGACAAATTGTTGTGAAGTTGGTTACAGTTGGTATCATTGAATTTCTGTCACATTGACGTTTAAACATTAGTTCTAGTGATAGTGTAAAACTAGAACATTAGACCTAGAACTAGAAAGTATCGGGTTTAGCCGTGCGTCTTCAGATCTTTAATCAATGTGAAATGATCCAAAAAACACGTTAAAAATAAAAAGAAAATGCTGAAAAGTGACTAACACTACATTAACTTCAGTTATAAAACTTCTATTATACGATAACTAACTTCAAGTTTAAAATGTCAACCTCAATTTTGATATATTTGTAATCTTCATTAAAAATTCTTTAAAATGAGTACAAACACGACATATTTATCTTCAGTATTAATGAAGTTATGGTCAACTTCCGGTTAAGAATGTCAACGTCAATTTTGACATATTTGTAATCGTCGTGAAAAATCCTTTAAAATGAGTCCAAACATGATACGTTTAATTCCAATATTACTCGAGATATAAGCAACTTCCGGTTTGAAATGTCAATGTCATTTTGACATATTCTTAATTTTTATAAAATGTCTTAATATTTGTCACAAAAACAAAAATATAATAAAAAAAAATAAAAAATTAAGGTTGGTATTAATATTTAAAAATTAAATTGCTATCTTCATTGTTGCTAACTTCGGGTTTAATGTTTTTTATTCTAACTTTTTTGTTTTTTGAGATAAGTGCGTCATCTTTGGACTCATTTTAAAGGTTTTTTAATGAAGATGACAAATATGTCAAAATTGACGTTGACGTTTCAAACCGGAAGTGATTGTATCTCCATTAATATCAACGTTAAATATGTCGAGTTTGGACTCATTTTAAAGGATTTTTCGTGAAGATTACGAATATAATAATAAAATTAAAGTTGACATTGGCAACTAAACTTTTTTCCACGACTAAACCCGAATGTTTCTAGTTCTCGTTTTAGTTAACATTAGAACTAGAAACATTCGGGTTTAGCCGCACGTCTCTCAAGACGGCAAAGGTTTGACATTAAAAAAAAGCATAAACATATTTTTTTCGTATGATTTAAGCATAAATTAATTAATTTTCTTAAAAAAACATGACGTTTCATAAAATTGACATTTAATTTTGACAAATTGTTGTGAAGTTGGTTACAGTTGGTAACATTGAATTTGTGTCACATTGACGTTTAAACTTTATGCAAAAATTTATTTAAAAAAATAAATAAACTTAACCTTATTAATTAACCCCTCTCATTATATGCTCGTATAATATACTAATTATTTTAATTAATTATTTATGTTAAGATGGAAAGATTTTCGGATGTACACCTTGGGAAGTCACACCGATGCCATTACAGGGTGTTTCTTTGAAAAACACAGTTTGGATATGATTACTATTAGTCAAAACGGACAATTATGCGTTTGGGAGTCATCGAAAGAAACTAAGGATCTTATTCCGATTGAGAATGGTCCCGAAAAAAAGAGATCTGTAATCATTTTTTTTTAATTAAATTAATTTTGTTTAAATAAAATATCTTTAGAAAAATACCGAAGATTTAATTGAAGACGAAATCGATGTTTCTAAAATTAAGGAGCGTAGCGATGAGGAAATCGCTGCCAGTTTAAAAGAGCTCGAAATTGAAGATGAGTCAAAGAATGAGGATCGAATTTTTTATAAAAGAATTGCAAAACATTATATAGCTAACGATATTAAAAAAGATAACCACGATGCTACATTAACTGCGGTTGCTTATCATAAAGAACTTAAAATTCTTGTTACGGGTAAAATTATTAACATTTTTGTATGATTTTTGGATTTTAGAATCCAAATTATTTTTTTAGGTTATTCAACTGGAGCTTTTGTTATATACGAAATGCCCGAGGTTAATTTAATCCATTCTTTAAGCATTTCTGATAACATCATCACATCAATTTGTTTAAATAAGACCGCTGATTGGATCGCAATTGGGTGCGGGGGATACGGACAATTACTCGTTTGGGAGTGGCAAAGTGAAACTTACGTTATGAAACAACAAGGACATACAAACAACATGAATTGTGTTGCTTATTCCACCGATGGTTTAATTTTAGCAACCGGTGGAGAAGATGGAAAAATTAAATTATGGAATGTTCATTCTGGATATTGTTTTGTAACATTCACTGAGCACACAAATGCAATTTCTGGGTTAGCTTTTAGCGGAAATAAAAAATTCGTTGTTAGTTGTTCCCTAGATGGAACTGTTCGATGTTTCGACGTCGTCCGGTACAGAAATTTTCGCACTTTAGCTTCACCCCGACCAGTTCAATTATCATGCGTAGCAGTCGATACAAGTGGGGAATTTATTGCTGCTGGGGGACAAGATATTTTTGAAATTTTTCTTTGGTCAGTTAAAATGGGGCGATTATTGGAGATTTTAAGTGGACATGAAGGGCCAATTGTAAGTAATTAATGAGTGAAAAAAGTGAGGTTATTTTTTTTTGAGTTGTCAAAAAAATGAGGTTACTTTTTTAAGTTGTCAAATTAAAAAGTGAGGTTATAATTTAATTAAATAAGAAAAATTCAAGAATCATCCAGAAAGAAATGACCCTAAAAACACGTTAAAAATAAAAAGAAAGTGCGGAAAAGTGTAGAACATACTGAAAAATCACATTAAAATTTCGATGTGACGTTTTGTGATAACGACTAATTACCTGTCGTTAGATAGACTGTGTGTCAATAGACTCTGTGTTAATACTAGAACTAACACTAGGTCGAAAACTAGAAACATTCGGATTTAGTCGCACGTCTCTCAAGACGGCTAAACCCGCATGATTCTAGTTCTAGGTGTAGTCTTAGTTCTAGTGATAGTGCAAAACTAGAACTAACACTAGACTTAGAACTAGAAAGTATCGGGTTGGGTTGTAAAATGACAAAATATTGGAAATTTTATCTTTAAACGTCATTCAAACGTCACTTTTTATAAATTTGACAGTTAGAATGTCAATTGGTAGCAAAAATTGAGGTTGACATGTCATTTAGTCATGTCAAAAACCGGAGCCTCCAGATGAAACACCCTTGTTTCTAGACTTTCGATGCATAACGACTGACTACCTGTCGTTAGATAGACTGTGTGTCAATAGACTCTGTATTAATACTAGAACTAACACTGAAACGATTTACTCGCACGTCTCTCAAGACGGCTAAACCCGAATGATTCTAGTTCCAAGTCTTGTGTTAGTTCTAGTGATAGTGTAAACCTAGAACTAACACTAGACCTAGAACTAGAAACATTCGATACATACTTTCATCATTCGATACTTCCTAGTTCTAGGTCTAGTGTTAGTTCTAGTTTTAGTTCAATAAAAATATGAAACAATGATATTTTATGTTAACCAGCGCTACTTACCACTATCACTAGAACTAACATTAGCGCTAGAACTAGAAACATTCAGACATATTGCATTTTATCTGGGACAAAGTAAGTATAGTTCATTTTTTTTCTATAATACCTGTCAAATTGTTGTAAAGTTGCCAAAATTAACAGGGAGTTTTGTTTTATCATGTTTTGAAGTAAATATGTCACATTGACGTTTGAGCTTTCGTTATTCAAAAAGAAAAGGTGCATAAGAAGTGTTGTGGGGTGTTTATTTGCCATTTACTTACCTAGAAAAGGTATTTTATTCTATTTAATTACTTTGTAGCACGTTTTTATAACAAATATGTACTTCGTCAAAATCGTATTTATCTAAAAATTTATTAGTATTTTAACCTCAACTAATTAGTTACTGACAATGTTACTAAAAATCATGAAAACAACATAAATTTTATAAGGGTCCTAGATAATACCAACAGAAACCCTAAATAATTTACATTGACAAGTATTATAGAAAAAAAACGAACTACTGGTTTCTTTCATTTTAAGTGAAATTCACTGTATAATGTAATTTAATGTACTCCCTCCTAACTTCATGTTGTTTCGTTTTGACAACTTAAAAGTCAAAGTATTTAAATGTCAATCAAAACAGGTAAATTTTTGCGCAAATGTATTAATATTACATCAATAATATTGTAATAAATTTTAATTGCAGCCGTTATACAAGATAATTAAAAATTCCAATCATCGCAGAGCGATGACATTCTATAAATTGGCACGATTATCTAATCTAACTTTATCGTATGATGCAAACTAATCAAATTTGATAGTTAGAATGTCAATTAGTAGCAAAAATTGGGGTTGACATGTCATTTAGAATGTCAAACTGTAAGAAAATTGTAAATTTAAACAAAATTATATTTAATGTCAAATTTGACGTTTTCGGTAATTTGATAATGGTTAAGTTATAATTAATTTACCGAGTTCAACATGACGTTTAAATGTCAAATTTGACGTTCTGAGTAATTTGATAAACGTTAAATTTTAATTAATTAATTTTCTAAATTCAAAATGACGTTTAAATGTCAAATCGTCATTGGCTACGTTCATTTATCAATTGACGTTCTAACTGTCAAATTTGATTATTTTGCCTCACACGAAGATTTTAACGTCAAAACTAACGACGTCTAAATTGGTCTAAATGATAGTTTAAAGACAAGATTGACAATTCGACATTATAAATGACATATTTACCTTATTTTCTGCTACCAATTGACTTTGTAACTGTAAAGTTTGAGCATGTACCATCACAAGTAGATTTTAATGTCAAAAGTCACATTTGAATGACATCTTAATGATTAAATTTACAGTTTGACATTCTAATTGACATGTCAACCTCAATTTTTGCTACCAATTGACGTTCTAACTGTCAAATTTGATTATTTTGCCTCACACGAAGATTTTAACGTCAAAACTAACGACGTCTAAATGATAGTTTAAAGACAAGATTGACAATTTGACATTATAAATGACATATTTACCTTATTTTTGCTACCAATTGACGTTTTAACTGTCAAATTTGATCATTTTGCATCACAAGTAGATTTTAATGTTAAAAATGACATTTAAATGACACCTTAAAGATTAAATTTACATTACAAGATTCTAGTTCCAAGTCTTGTGTTAGTTCTAGTTTTAGTGCAATAAAAATATGCAACATAGTGATTTCTTATGCTAACTATCACTACCTACCATTGTCACTAAAACTAACACAAGACCTAGAATCATTCGGATTTAGCCCCAAGTCTCTCAAGACGGCTAAACCCGAATGATTCTAGGTCTTGTGTTAGTTCTAGTGATAGTGTAAAACTAGAACTAACCCTAGGATTAGAAAGTATCGGGTTTAATTTAATCTCTATCTGAAGACGCATGGCTAACCCAACCCAAAATTTACAACCTATCCTCTGCTCCATGCCCAACCCAACATTTATGAGTTTAAATGTTAATTAACCTACTTAACTCAAAGTGGAATATTTACAGAAAATTCTGAAATAAATCAGGAAACTAAGTGGATCTGAATGTAACTTTTATAGATATAACAATTTTTAAATCTGTAATGGAAGGGACACAAAAAGATATCATTTAACAGAAGAATAGTTTCAATAAATAATCCTCAGCCAGTAGTATTGTAATCTCCAAGCACTTAGTAGTGTTTTGGCAGCAATATATAGTCTTCTGAAAGCATTAAATAGTCTTTGCCAACAATACCTAGGTTTCTACAAGCAATTAGTAGTCTTTCCAACAATATTTAGCATTCTGAAAGTAGTTAATAGTCTTTTGGAAACAGTATCTTGTCTTCTCCAAGCAGGTCGTAATCTTTTCTAGTAATATATAGCGCTCTGAAAGCAGTAAGTAGTCTTATGGAAGCAGTGTCTCGTCTTTCCAATGAGTTTGTAGTTGTTTGTTAGCACTATTTAGACTTCTCTAAGCAAATTGTAATCTTTTCCACCAATATCTAGCATTTTGGAAGCGGTAGGTACCTTTTTTCGAGAGCATCTCTCTTTCCAAGTAGTTATTTGTTTTTTCCAGTAATATTTAGCATTCTGGCAACATTAAGTAGCTTTTTGGGAATCATATCTTTTCTTTCCAAGCAGTTATTAGTCTTTTCCAGCAGTATCTAACATTCTGGAAGCAATAGGTATTATTTTGGAAACAGTATCTAGTTTTTTCCAAGCATTTTAAAAGCAGTAGATAACTTTTTGAAATAGTATTCTCTCTTTCCAGTCAGTTTTTTGTCTTTTACTAGCAGTATTTAATCTTCTGATAGCAATAATTAGTCTTTTGCCAACAGTATCTAGCATTCAAGAGCCAATAAGTTAAAGACTTTAGGTTCGCTTTAGTTTATAGATGGTAAACAACAACATTTTAATCGTTGTGCGTCGAAGATTTAAGAAACAACCGTATTTCACCCCAAAATATACAAAAATATTATGAATTATACCAAATTTTTTTATTTTTTTTAGGGAGGTCTTTCTTTTAACCCAACACCAGGAAGTACAGTTTTAGCTTCAGTTTCTTGGGATAAAACACTCCGCATTTGGGATGCCATCGAAAAAGGATCAGCTCACGAATCGATCGAGATACAAAGTGATGGAATTTGTGTCGCTTTTAAACCGGACGGTTTAGAAGTAGCCGTTGGAACTTTAAACGGAGATATAACCTGTTTTAATATAAAAACAGCTCAACAAACTGCTAGTATTTCGGGAAAAAATGATTTAGGAAGTGGAAGATCCGATACGGATTTAATAACGGCTCAACAATCGTTAAAAGCTAAATCATTTACAACGCTTTGTTTTTCCGCGGATGGTGAATCAATTCTAGCTGGTGGTCACTCTAAAAACGTTTGTATTTATAACGTTAAAGAAGGGATTATCATAAAGAAATTCGAAGTCACTCAAAATCGATCGTTTGATGCTGTCGATGTAAATATCTCTTCATTGTATTTAATTTATTTTAAAGTTAATTATTTTTAGGATTTTATAAATCGGCGTAAAATGACCGAGTTTGGAAATATCGCTTTAATTGAAGAGAGAGAACCTTTAGAAGGCGGAAATATTTCAATTAAATTACCTGGAGTACAGAAGGGCGATATGACAGCTCGTAGTTTTAAACCGGAAGTTCGTGTATTTTCGCTTCAATTTTCACCGACGGGGCAAGCTTTTGCGGCGGCTACTACGGAGGGGTTATTAATTTATTCTTTGTGCGTTGGGTTGGTTTTCGATCCGTGGAATTTAGAGCTTGGGGTGACGCCGAAAGCTATAAAAGAAGCTATTTTTAAAAAAGAACACGTCAATGCTTTATCTATGGCTATAAAATTGAATGAAATCGATTTAATACAAGAAGCCATGGAAAGCGTTCCAATTAAAGATGGTAATTTATTTTTAATTAGTTTAATTACTTAAAAAAATAATAAATAAATAATTTTTTTTAACTTTTTAGTTGAGTTAGTGATTACGAATTTGGGAGAAAAATATATTGAGCGACTTTTAATCATCTTAGCTAATGCTTTGGATAATTCACGCCATTTAGAATTTTATTTGTTGTGGGCGCAAAGCATTTTAACTTACCACGGTCCTGGTATTAAATCCCAACAAAATATGCCGGCTTTAATTGCTATTCAAAAAAGTTTAACAAGAAAATTTTCGCAATTATCAAAGATGTATGTTTTATATAGCGTGTCAATCATTGCAAGTATGCAACCAATATCGCAAATCGCGTAGTGTGATATTGGTTGCATAATTGCAATGATGACAATTTTCCTTATTTTTTTCTTAACCTTATTTGATTTTTAGATGTGATTTTAATAAATATACGATGCAATACATATCGAGACAAGGCGAATTAACCTCAAAGAAAATTGATGTGAATCCGTTTTCAGAGGAAATGGATCAAGATATTGATTAGGTTTAAATAAATAAATCTTCTAATTTGCCGTTTTTATTTAAAGATTACCATCTTAAGTTTTATTTATGTCTGAGGTTGACTGTGAATTAGCAAAACGGGGAAATAAATCGATACGAAAATTAAATAAAGAGTTGGAAAAACCGTTCTTGCCTTTTTATCGATTTCAACCCATAATAGAACCTCTTCACCACGATCCTATTATAAATAAATAATATAAATAATCGTTCTAATACCAATAAGTGCAAATATTAATTTAATTTTGCTAATTAATTAAAATAGCTAAATTTGTGGTTCATTAAAAGCATAAAGCGATGAATAATAATAAATAATAAACTTACATTGAGCCAATATAACCTGAATTTTCCATGCTTTGCTTCTAATGGTAGATATTTTTTATCGACTCCTTCATTCCACTGCGAAATTTGTAGTTCCTACAAAAAATATAACAAATATATATTATAAATTGAAAAAATCGACGATTATTTTTTAATCGACGCGAAATGACCCAAAAACGTTAAAAATTAAAAAAATAGAATGGAAAAGTGTAGAACATACCGAAAAATCACTTTAAAGTATCGATGTGACGTCAAAAGCAATGTTAAACATGCATTTTCGTATTAAACGTTAATTTTTAAATAAATTAAGTAAATTTCTCTCAAAGAACCAAAAAGTTCGAACTTTCAACTATTAATTTTGACATATTTGTCAACTCCATAAAAAATCCTTTAAAATGAGTCCAAACTCGACATATTTAACTTTGATATTAATGGAGATACAATCACTTCCGGTTTGAAACGTCAACGTCAATTTTGACATATTTGTCATAATCATTAAAAAACCTTTAAAATGAGTCCAAAGATGACGCACTTATCTCAAAAAACAAAAAAGTTTGAATAAAAAATGTTAAACCCGAAATTAGCAACAATGAAGATAGCAATTTAATTTTTAAATATTAATACCAACCTTAATTTTTGATTTTTTTTTATTATATTTTTGTTTTTGTGACAAATATTAAGACATTTTATAAAAATTAAGAATATGTCAAAATGACATTGACATTTCAAATTGGAAGTTGCTTATATCTCGAGTAATATTGGAATTAAACGTATCATGTTTGGACTCATTTTAAAGGATTTTCCACGACGATCACAAATATGTCAAAATTGACGTTGACATTCCTAACCGGAAGTTGACCATAACTTCATTAATATTGAAGATAAATATGTCGTGTTTGTACTCATTTTAAAGGATTTTTAATGAAGATTACAAATATGTCAAAATTTTTCCAAGTTCCTTAATATTTCTTTTGTTAAAAAAGGAGCGTTCTTAAATTTTAACCTGTAAACTTGTAACACTTCGTCTTTAATTTCATCTTACAACTTTTTAAACTTTAATTTTGTAAATTAGTAACTAATAATCTGATTTCGACTTTGATGTACGATCTTTCTTAACAAAAGAAAAAGAAATATTAAGAAACTCGTTTGTAAAATGGGTAGGATGAGGGATGTTAATCTATTTGTATAGTCTCTGAATTCTAAACAGGGTGATTCTCAACCTATACGCGTAAATTTGGGACTTTATTCCTCATAACAAATAATGACTAATAGGTGAAAAAAATTGTAGCAGAAGTGTTTTAGTTTCCTAGATATCGGTGAAATTTACTTTCAATGATGAATACATAAAACATTTTAAAATAATTGAGGTCGAGCGATCGGGGTGGCCAGGCGATTCGACCACCTAAAAGTGTGGTGGAGCACCATCTTGAAGAACCACATAATTTGTCCAACATCAAGCGCAATATCTTCGAGCAGCCCTGGGAAATTATCGTGCATTAATCGGTTATACAGAATGATAGGGCCAATAAGTAGTTAGTTCACAATTCCAGGCTTATAAATTCATAGAAAGTCTTTGTTGAAAATGTGTTCGGCGAGTATTCTCCACGGCCCAATAATGCGTTAACGTAAAATGTTATTAGAAAAGTTTGGGTTCAGCTGATACTGATGTAGCAACCACTAGCAAAATTGTACTTGAGGGAGATGATCCACTGGTAGTAGGACTTGTACATCTTGCACATGATATGGATAGAGTTGGTTGTGCCTCAATATTCGCCAAATTATGGATTGTGATACCCCATGTTGCTCTGCAAGTATCCTAGTACTTAGACCAGACTGATCTCTTCCTTGACATGAACAATTCTCACAACATCTGCTCCTCAATTTTGCCCAAGCCTCGGTCAAATATTGCCATTTTCTCTACCATGTAAAAAGGATTCATGTGCCGGATTATATCTCTCTGGAAAGCTTTCTGCATAGAGACGAACCGCAAGTACAAAATTTTGCCGTGATTCCCCGTATTTGGTATTCCCCAAAATTGTGCACCATAATTTTTGTAGTGTTTAAATGTCACAATGACACAAGCGTACTTAAACAACAGTTGTTAAAATTGCAGTTGTTTATCACCATCATAGTTTCAAGTAATTTCTGTACATTCTTAAAATTAAAAAACTTTTGCTAACATTTTTTTCACCAATTAGGCATTATTTGTCATGAGAAATAAATCCCCAAGTTTATTAAACCAGTTGAAAAGTACAAAATGAAACTATAGATAATTTTCTTCAAAAATTTTTACACAAAACATCATTTTGACTCTAATATTTGCGATTAAATTTATGCCATGGCTTACAGAAACACCCTGTATAATCGTAAAACGACTGACCAAGCGGATTCTGTGCTTGTGATCAGTGTTTTGTGATAAAAATAGATAGGCGCCAAACAATTTTCAATAGTTTGAGCCTCTCTATTCTGAGAAGTCATATTTTTAGAGAGATGAAAACGAAAATACCGTTTTTCTCAACATTGTTCATTTGTGGCTTAGTCAAGTGATGCATAACGCGGTCCAATTATAACATAAATAAGTTTTTTAATAAAAAAAAACTGATTAAAGAAAAATTTGAGGTTATGTTTACTTTTTTTAGGTTATTCTGCAAATTCTTACCTTAAATTCTTGTTTCTTCAACATCCGATATTTCTCATCTAAAACTTTAATAATTACAAATTCCCCTAATGCGGAGAAAACGAAGAACATACACATTGCCATCCAAATATCCAAACTCTATAAAAAACATAAATAAGAAATTATTTTTGTGATGTTTTTGTAATAAGATTACTTACTTTTATATAAGCAACTGGTGGAATATCAGATCTTAAAGCTGTAAACATCGTGACTAATGTTAAAAGACATGTAACCATTAACGTAACTCTCGCCGGGATTGCATCCAATCCTAACCAAAAACTGAACCATGATAAAATAACGATTAATGTTGAAGGCGCAAACGTTTGGATTAAATGGTGCCCAATTTGGCGTTCGAAACGAAAATAAACCACCAATCGCGAAAAATTCCCATTTTTTTCACCGGTTTGAACGTATTTATGTTCTAACCTCACTTTTCCGACGTTATATTGCAGCAGCTTTAATTCCGGGCTGATTACCACTCCAGGATTTAACCAATTTAAAATCATTTTCGAGTTATCGTATGCAACTAAAACAAATAAAATAAAAATGTTATTTCATATATAAAAATAATAAATTATTTAAACGTCAACAATAAAGATATGCAACCAAACACACATCGGTAAAATAGATTTCTTTTCGACGTTTAAAGAATTTTTAATAAACTTTTCTTACAACTTTCAATATTTAATGGACAAACTTGCGTGTCCATCGGATAAAATTTAAATTCCATTTGGCACGCGACTATTGCGTGCATTCTAGCCGAATATCGGACTGTTTTATTTCGAAATAAAGTGACGGATGAGAATTTTTGGTTCAACGTGGCGATTTCGACCACCTTCGAATTTAAAAAGTAAAGATCCGGCTGCCAAAGATTATCGAAGAATTGCGAGGGGAGCGTTACGTATTCATCGCCGTATTCGAAAACTTCCTCCGGGATTCTTAAACGCGAATCTTGCCATTGTTGACGTAAAAACATGTCCATTCTGTCAAAATAAAACGTCACTTTAGTTTGACATGGATATAAAAAAATAATTTTTTACCTAAAATCCATATCTTCAACGTTAATTGAGTTAATATCGATTACGGTCATGCAAAAATCGACTTCTAATGGTTTTCCTTTTAAGGTGGGTGGTCTAACTTCTTTTAAATAATAATCTGGGATGACGGTTTTATTTTTAGCGTTTTTACCATTTGGGATTATTCCACCGCATAAATCGCTTTAAATAAATTAATATTATTTTATTTTGTAAAATGAAAATACTTACGTTAATAAGAATAGAAGTAAAACAACTTGCAACTTCATGGTATTGGCACGTTTTAAACTGAATCGTTGTATAACGAGCAAAAAATTACCCACAGGAGCATAACTTGGCGATTAACAAATTGCTAATAACACAGAAAGACATCTTATATAGGAAAATGACAATTATGGGCTTTATAAAAGAAACCGTTTTAATCCGTATTAGTCATTTCCTGGCCAAAAAATTATTAGATCAAAAAACATTTTATAAATGAGATAACGAGAGTATTTCATTTCTTCAAATAATACGATTAATAAATAAAAAAAATACATTAAAATGGTTTAAATTAAAAAAATATATAAGCGACATCTTTTATCAAATAACCAAATTGATTATATTGACAAATTTTTTTAGGTTATGTTAATATAACCTAAAAAAAATGTTTTTAATTAAAAATAACCTTATCGCTCTTAAAAACTTTCGACTCTCAAGAGATAACAAACCCATCATGTGCGATAACTCATCAAATTGTGGAGAGAAATGGCTTTGAAAACTTTAAATAAAACGAAAATTGGTGATGTTTTCAAAAAGATGGATTATCAAAGTGTTCCGATTGATATCTCAAAAGCACAGGTAAAATAAATATATTTATATATAATCAAGGAAAAATTCAAGAATCATCATGTGGCTTAAAAATCGACAATTTTTTTTTAATTAATGTGAAATGAT